TAGAACGTAGAAAAAATTATTTATACGTTAAATATGTCGATATTTTGGATTACATTTGACATTATAAGTAAATTACGAATTTGTGATCAATATAAATAACTGTTATTGCTTTCCAAATGTCCCAAAATGTATTTACTAGACTTCGTGCTGTATACACAATTTATCTTTTTCCCAGTATAAATAATATTAAATCTCCTCTTTAATCGTAACCTTTAGATTCAATAAAATATGCAAACACAAGGTTCACGTCAACCTTCGTCGAAAAAGGGTGATACAAGATATTAAAGAACAGATATTTTATCAACGTTCGACCGAGTTCCGTCTTTCACGTAAATATCCCGTTCGATAAGTCTCTTTCCGCCTCTTTTTGAAGAGATCTTAGACGTCAACAGAGATGGGCTGGGGATATTTAAAAAAGACATAAGTATAGGTAAAGATGAGCAAATATATACAAAAAAATTAAAGAAATATGTGAAAAAAGTACTACTCGTTCAAAAAACGTTTATTTAAAAAGATAATATACAAACGAAATATTATTTACAAGTATTTAAATATGGTCTACAATTGACATGTTATGTTTAACATTTAACTTAAAATAAAAAATCAATGGGATTTTGAGGCAAGGGTTTATCCTCTACTAACTTTTGCACATCTATATCTATGCTACTCGTAGTGACTCTAATACACGCTTCCAGAGAATCGTTTTCCATGCGATTACGTGTTTTAGATTTAATATGCTTCAAAGTAGAAAATGTACTTTCACATTTATACGTACTACCAAACATTTAATATAGTTTCAACGCAAAGTTACGAAGTTTAGGAAAACGAACCTTGGAGACTAACTTCCAAAAGGTACTAATGTCTTCATTTTTCTTTGCTTGAAAAAACGAATTAGGGCTGTAGTTCGCACAGCTCTAATTGGTATTCTGCTGATTGTTCTGAATGTTGACTCTCATTGGATTGTTAAAAAGCTCAAGATCGGGTTTTAGTGCATTAAATTCCGAAAACCTTTCATCGAATTCTCTTTTTATTTCTGTAAGAACTTTTGCAAACCTCGAGAAATCGACCATGGTCTCTTCTTGATTTATTTCGAAACACGCAGGAAAATGTATGAGCTCATTTATTTTCATGCAGTTCTCGAAAACATCAAGTTTTTTGCGAAATGTCTTAATTTGACCAACCAACTGTGATACTATCTTATTTTTCCCCTGGAGTTGTAGGTTTAATGTGTTCAAGTGAAAGGTAATGTCAGTTCATGAAGAAATGTTTTGTTCTTAAGCTTTGTTACAAATACGTCCGTGTTAATAACAATTTCCTTTTCAAAAAAGAATAAGATCTCTTATCTTAAAGGAAAAAATGGTATTTCTAAGGCATCTTTACCTGGACTCAACCATCGTATCTCTGAATGTAGGAGGACGTACTTATATTCAGTATTTAATTCCTCCAAGAAAGAGATGAATTTTCGGTGTCGCTGAGTTCTGTTTCCTCCTCTTAAGCTGTTTACTATCTGCACTACAGTTTTAATAGTATAGTTGATTTTAATTATCTTTACGCAAAGAGCCTCTTAATGTGGTGCAGTTTTAGAAGTTCCTCAGTTACACAAAAATCTTCACTGATGCATCCAACAAAAATTAATAACTGATTTTTGTCAGTAATATCAATAGCTTCGTCCAGAACAATCACGAACTGTGTCGACCATTTTTTAAAAACATGAGTATTCAGCTCATCAACTCTTCAAGATACAGTTTGATGGGAAACTGAAACACATTCAAAAATTTTGTTTATCTTTACATCTCCAAAGGATCGCGCCATTTTAACGGCACATCGCTTGATCATTTCTCCATCTCTAAATGCTTTTTTACTTTTGACAAGCTCTAAACATACTTCATATAAATTTAAACGTAAACATACGGTTTTGTAAATAGAGATTTTTTTTGTTCAATTTAGCTTTAAGTTGTTTTAAAAGAGTAGTGCGAGCGTCACCTTGATATTTGTCTTATTTTGTTTTGTGCTGGGTTTCATAATGCCTACTAATATTGTATTCTTTTGATACCGCCAGTACTTGACAACAAATAATGCACTTTTGGTTTGTCTTTTAATTCGATGAATAAATATTGATTTTCCATTTTCCTTGGAACGTATTCTCTTCTTTATGGAAATATGGAAAATTTTGCGTTCTTTTTTGGCACTACCCATTCTGAGTTTAACATTCAATTTCTTCGCCACTGTTAATTCAACGCGGCACGTGCAGCTGACTGAAGCTAACTGCCCGCTCATCGGGAGTGGGTGTTCAAGGTTAACTACTTTCTTAAGATTAGGGAAAGTTAAGACAGGGTTGGACAGTTAAAAAGTATCCTAATCCTATCTCCTAAGTTGGACAAACAAATACACTTTCACAAAATTTTATTGCAATCCTTTTAGTGGTTTTTAAATATTTAGCCCAGTCTGGTCAAAAAAAGGTCGAGCAGATATCTGAAGCTTTTAAGACATAGGTGGGGGTTACTACATGACGAATAGATGAAAAGGTACTCCTAGTTTTACCTTGCGTTTGTTTTAAACAATAATTTATGGTCACAATTTGATTTTTTGTGTATTTTTTCCCTTATATTTTACATAAACAATATTTATATAATTTTTTTATATCAAGAATATCTTTATTTTCCCGTTTTTTAAATTAAAATTGATAAAATAATTTACGAAGATATTTGCAAAAAAGCAGTTTTTTTGAACTAATTTATAAATTTTATTAATTTTTTTATTAACCAAATAAAATGTTATTAATACATTTGAACATCGAGGAATTACCGTCTTTTAAACTTGTGCGAAATTTACCCCCGATCGGTCTGTCAAATAGTTTAAAAGTTATTTAATTTATTTATCCCTGAGGCTAAATATTTAAACTATTGAACTTGCTCTATTAATGACGCTAGACAGATTTATCAAATTTCATAGGATTCTTTAAAACATAAACTATCTCACAAGTTAAATTCATATTGCGTTTTTCATCGAAATTATTTTATTACCAATAGGAACTAAGTTTGGGCGAAGCTTGGACAAACTTCGTGAAAAGAAATATATATATATATATATATATATATATATATATATATATATATATATCCCGTTACAACCCTGAAATTCAGCCATTTCTGACTCGATCACGCCTCCACTTTTTTTCAATTTACCATTTCCTCGTCCGCTATGTGTGATGTATAAAGAATAAATGTCAGAAACCCATTAGACATATTTGTAGCTGTAACGTGCCCTTTGAATACATTTTTATTGAACATCTGTATCAGATTATGGCAGCTTATGAATTCGCAAAATGCTGACATGTCAATAAAATAAATTTAGTGTTTCACAAAGAACTATGACACAAAAGGGAATGATTTGTTTGCAAAAATGAAGATAATGGAGGAAATGCATTGGTTTAGAAACGGTTAAAAAGTTTTGACCCAATTAGTTATACATCATCGGGAAAGTTTTATGTTTCGTGTAAAAATAGATCGATTATATTTTCTATACTCGTATTTGTATCATTCTATACAATGATAATTATTTAATATTTTAAATTATTAATTATTAGTTTATTTTGTAGCTGATTAAAACGAATTATGGTGAGTTATTTTGATTCAAACCGCTAAACTGACTTTTTAACAATGAAAATTCCATAGTGACCGGTTAATGGAAAAGTGATACACTTTAATAATGTCATAAGAATCGCAAAAAATGTTAAAAATCGTGCAACGTTTAATTACACTAGTTTACAACCAATTTGCGACTCGAATGCAAAATGGTGTTTGTTAATTTTTGATCTCTGAACATGAATATGATGATAGAGAATTGCAAAGAATTTGTGTACAAAAGACTTCCATAGTTTTTGTTTCTAGTTCTGGACTTATTTATATATAGTATATAAGAATTTTTATAATAAATAATATTATTTGATGCAGTCTATAACTTAAAATATTTACGTGGTGAGAAATTTTGGTGTTTGAATTCGCAATCAGGATGCTTTAAACCCCCTGGTACAGACATTTTAACATCAGTCTCAACTTTTTTTAATTTGTTGACTAGTCTTATTTAACACTTTTATAGAAACTGACTTCAATTGCAGCAAAATAAAAACCGCATAAGAAAGCTGCACTCTCCACATTTGAAACGTTTATCACTTAACTATGCTGCAAAATTCCAAACGACACCTCTCACATCCACCTCAAAACAGATCCGCCCTAGTCTAAATCTCTTTATTCGCAAAACATACTCTAATAAAAATAATGTCTCTTATAACCCATGCAAATCCTATGATACCTTTAGAATTTAGAAGCACGTTTCTACTCTAACATCAAAAAACTCTAACAGCAATCTTGTGGTACAGGATTCAAAAGCACTTTTTTTTGTTTACTAACTTATCAAAGTTAATATTTCTTTGGTATTGGCGCCCAATTATCATAACTTTGTTTTATAATTCGTTTGACAAAATGTCTACCTGATAGAATCTTCCATGTTCCAATCACCTTCCAAGTTTAATCAAAGTGAATACAGGCTCTCTCCTTTCATCCCGACGAAGTATAAGTAATAGAAAAAGTTTCAAGAAGTCGTATAAAATTTGCGTGGGATTTACAGCTTTTCTTTTAAATGAAATTCGAGAACTTTTAACAATTTTGCAGTCTATGCCGTTATATCATCGTTAAATATAAATAAAAACAGATGAGTACTTTGAAAACAACCTTAATATTTTGAAATTAAGGTTATATGGATAATAAAAACATGGGGAGAAAATAGGTTGGCATGATTAAGGCTATAAAAACCTGATATATTAAAACTGGATGACACAAGAAAGTGTGTAGCTATATATTTTATCAGTACTAATGGTCAATTTTATAAAAAATTAAAGTAGATATTACATAAATTCTAATATTTAGTCTTCATATGTCATCTATGCTAATTATTTTAGGTAACTGTAGTTATATGTCTCTAACGGTGTATTTTTGTTTCAGGATCGGGAAAATCGTATACCATGATGGGCTCGCAAGACAGCAAAGGTATCATTCCAAGGTTGTGCGACTCACTTTTTGGCCTAATAGCAAAACAACAAAGTTCAGAATTAACATACAAAGTAGAAGTGAGCTACATGGAAATCTACAATGAAAAGGTCAGTAGATACTTCCGTCATTTTATGAGCCTTGATGTGGTTTGAATTGTTCCGCTCATGAGTAAATTGCATGGAAAATACCACTAATACAACTGTATTATTGCGATTTTTCAAGGAAACAAGACAAAAAAGAGAATGCAATAATTAGGGTTGTTTGGTTCGTTTCAGGCGCGTTCTCGGTTTTTATCGATTTTTGTGATTTATTGGAAAGTTATAGCTTGTGTTACAGCACAATGAATGTTCATTTAATGAACTGATGTGTAACATATAACAAAACGTGTCGTAATGGATTTACCTTTCGATTCCTGATAGGGTTACAAAACAAATATCAATAACAGTTTTAGTTGCTAAAACTAATAAGTTTAAGTTGCTGCATGTGATGCCCAAATATATACAAAAATACTTTAGTTGCTTGTACCTAACCGTATTGTAATTTCTTTTTATTCGTTAAAAAACTCTTCCACTGAAGAATATGGTCTTTCAGATTTAGATAGATAGGCTTTTGTCAATTTACGGAACTTAAGGAAAGAAGTTGTAGATTTAAGTTGCAAAGAGAGATGGTTCTATAATTTTTTTGCCGAATATAATATAGATTTCTTTACTCACTCTCTTTGCCAACCATTTTCCATCCACTCCTGAATGTAGGCCTCCCCCAATTGCTTCCATCTTTCTCTATCTTGCGGTAATCTAATCCATTGTTTGCCTGCTATTATTCTTATGTCATCTACCCATCTTTTTTGAGGTCTTCCCATGCTTCTCGTTGTCGTCCTTGGTCTCCAGTCCAGAACTCTCCGTGTCCACCTGTTGTCATTATATCGGGCTACATGACCTCTCCAGCGCTATTTCATTTTTGTAATTTCTTCCACAATATCCCTAATCTTCGTTCTACGTATCTTGGTGGACCGGATTGGTAAATACACATCAAAGGTTGAATTTCTGGTGGATTAGTGATGATTAGGTCTTTCTGGAAAAACATGTAGGTGTTTACGAATTAAGCAAACAGGTTCTAAAATATATAAAGAGTGACAAGTTAAAATCCCGTGATTTTTGAAGTAGCTTCTGCAATATGTTATTCTACTGAGGCCAAAAATATACCGTATTGCTCTTTTTTGTATTTTAAAAATAAGATCAGATTGGGCAGTTGTACTAGAACCCCAAAAAGGAAGGCCATACCGATGATTTGACTAGAACAAAGAAAAATATGTTATTTTGGAAAATGCTAAATTGATTTCCTTCGGAACAGATCTTATTGCATAGCAAGCTGAGGCTAGTTTCTTACTTAACAAATCAACATGAAGGGATCATTTAAGGTTGCTGTCTATAAAAATACTAAGAAATTTTACAGAATCAACGATACTGATTTGGCTGTTATTAAGAAGCAAGGGTTGAAGAGCTACTTTATATAATAATGCTACTGTCTTATCCACGTTAAAAGAGAGTAAATTAGAGTCAGACCAGGTTTTTATTTTAAGTAGATCAGAAGTTATAGTTGCATGAAGAGTTGCAATATTAGAGTTCTTCCAGGTAATACTGCTATCATCAACAAGAAGAAAAAAATTCCATGGATTTTTAAGTTAGCTGTTTTAATAAGTTTTAGATAGGCTCCTCTGTACTTGGAGATATAGTCAGTGACAAAGACACAAATTTTGGAATTTACGAAAGTTCTGAGCGGAAAAAATCCTACCTAAATGTTGGGTTTTCGAGGTTTTTTGTTAAGAGCGTTAAATTTGGTATATATTGCTTCATGATCAGATAGTTTTCCACTAATAATTGTAGAGCGTACATCAAGGGGTGAGAAATCTGAGACAATATAATCAATTAGGGTAGATGTTGTTTTAATAATTCTTGTAGGAGAATTCACGTGCATTGTGAAAAATAACATTAGTTTACTTTTTATATTATTTTGTAACATGTTACTATACTTATTAAATATTAATAAAGTAGTGTTTTACTTAATTTGGTTTCGAACACTTTTATTAACATAAGCTAAGAAGTAGAAGACGAAGCGGTCATTTTGACCGCGCGCGACTAGTTTTCAAAAATTCCTAGCAACTACTAAGGGGTTAATGGTGGAACAATGGTAACAAAATGAAACGAAGGCTAAGTGTACTTATATAACTTCCGGTATTAAATGCATATTTTATTATTTTAAACTAAAATTTCAGGAGAACAAAATCATTTCCCATCACATCGCTTTAGAACGTGCCACTTCACCTAAATTAACTGAAAATTTGTTTGTGTAAAACCTAATTCGTCGCTGTTTTTTGCAGGTGCACGATTTGCTGGATCCCCAAACAAACAAACAATCATTAAAAGTAAGAGAACATAATGTCCTTGGGCCGTACGTTGATGGTTTGTCGCAATTGGCTGTAACCTCGTTTCAGGTAAATTGTCTTTGTTAGTTATTGTTACAGTGTGAATTTTAGATAATTTTAATATATATATATATATATAGAACTCTAATAAAATAGTTCTTTTATTAAAGAAAATAATAATGATTAATGAAAAACCATGCTGTCAACAAACACAGTTCAACAAGTGAGATTTGGCATATCAGTGTAGTATGTGCATTAATAGAAAAAAAACATATCAGCAAGAAATGGAATAGGTTGTTTGCGGAATTGATTCCTAAAGAGCTCTTACTAACAAACATTTAGTTGGTATTTAAATACATAAAAAACATCTGGTAAAACTGGAAAATTATTAGTCTTATTCGCTATATACATATATAATATTTCCAGCTCTTTCTATCCTGTCAATATCCTGAAAAAATAATCCTTTGATGACTTAACCCTTGCTTTAGCAATGCTGTGCAAACGATCTTTCCTTATCAGTAGCTTGACTTAGCGCACTTGCTTCCCTCTTTGTCACTTTGTATATATCCTTATCTGCCTCTCTTTTAGACATGTCGCCTCTTTCTAGCTTCTTTCTTCTCTCTAACTTTCTATTGCAACTCATCCTTCCATCACCAAGTTTCTTTGTATCTAGGAGGCCCTTTACCAGGTGTTTTTCCTAGCACCTTCTGTCTAACTCGCGCCACAACTTTACTGTTGGCTTCCCACCAGTCATTTACCGTATTTTTTCCTCAAGCTCTTCCAGCACTATAATATTAAAGACTATTGCCAAATCCCCGCTTTTATAGGTAACAAACTGGTCTTCGGTCTTTATAGAGAACGTATTAATGACAGCCAAATCCCATGCCATTGCAATGTCAATCGCACTATTTTCTTTATAATTTCTTATTCCTATCCCCAAACTTCCATGAACTCTTTCTATTCCCGTTCTTTCTGTACAAATATATCCATTCTAATCACCTCCAATAAAACACTTCTCGTCTACAGTAATCTCGAGCATCTCGCAATCAAGAAGCCCCACATTCTTCCTTTTCCTGTTCTTTACACCCTACCTATGGGACGTAGGCACATATAATGTGCACGTTGGTATTGCCTGCACTCATTTGGACACTTATAAATCTATCACTTCTTCTGGTTACCCTTACAAGATGTTCCTTCCATTCGTTGTTCAAAATAATACCAACTCCATTTCTGCGGTTACTGTTCAAACTACTTTAATAAGTCATTAACTTGCATCCATCTGGAAAGATCTCTCGAATTTTCCAACGAGTTTCCTGCACAAAAAGTACACCAATCCTTTTCCTCTGCATGAAATCGGCGAGCTCTCTTCCTTTACCTGATGCTTCCGACGTTTTAGAGTTGCAACTCTCAGGAGTAACATCTTTGCCCCCTTCGCCTTAGCCTTGTGTGTGTGTCTTGTCAATTTTGCAAATTACTGTGAAACTAATAAATATTTACTTTTTAATAAATTCACTTGTGCCTACTCTTTGGATATCGACTTGGTTTCGTAAATTATACTAAATTACTCGAATTGTATGCTGGATATGTCTAAACCGACCGACGTGTCAGAACTCGCTTGTTGGATTTTACAGAAAAACTGGTCTATATCAACTCTCTTTTTTTTCTGTGTTTATATCATTTGTTTGTTTTTGTAATTTCAGGACATCGACAATCTTATGGCGGAGGGAAACAAATCACGAACAGTAGCAGCTACAAATATGAATAGTGAATCATCCAGATCTCATGCAGTGTTTACTGTCATCCTAACCCAAACATTAATAGACCCAAAAACGGGGGTAACAGGTGAAAAAGTTAGTAGAATGTCATTAGTAGATTTAGCAGGATCAGAGCGGGCTGTGAAAACTGGAGCGGTTGGGGACAGGCTCAAAGAGGGCTCTAATATAAATAAGTCGTTAACGACCCTAGGTCTAGTCATTTCAAAATTAGCAGATCAGTCTTCGGGCAAGAATAAGGATAATAAGTTTGTGCCATATAGGGATTCGGTACTAACGTGGTTACTCAAGGATAATTTAGGAGGAAATAGTAAAACGGTTATGGTTGCTACTATATCTCCGGCAGCTGATAATTACGAAGAAACCCTATCTACCCTGAGATACGCTGACCGAGCTAAGAGAATCGTTAACCATGCTGTTGTTAATGAAGATCCTAATGCCAGAATCATCAGAGAGCTCACCCAGGAAGTCGAAGCATTGAGGGAAATGCTTAAACATGCCACTGTAAGTTAATCCGTTTTTATATGTTTTATATCATTTTCAACAATATTTAATTTCATGATTATGTTTTCGTTCAAAAATTGCTTCAGCATTCTAGTACTAAAGCTAGTCATTTCTTTAGGAAGGTTAATAGGTTAATAAACCAATAATGTGGGTACCGACGTAATATGTTGAGGTATAAAATAGTATCATTTAGAAGCACCCAAGTTCCTAGAAAGGATCAAAATTTCCAATCGACGTAAAATTTCTCATTGTCAAGTATTTCAATCAATGATTACCATTTCCGTCTGTTTAGACCTTTAGTGATAAAACTTGCTGAAATGTTAGTTTTGTACAAATAGCAAGTCCAGTATTACTCATTTGAAATAGCGTATTTGAAGACTGTTGTGTTCACTGTACATGACGCTCTTTTACATAAATATCTCACCACTATTGTTTGAAGTGTTCAAGTTTTCAACCATAATATAAGTCAGAGAAGCGATTATTTATGGACTTTTGAAACAACAAAAGTAATACACTAGTCATATCTGGGAAAAAATAATTGATTTCACGTAAAAATCATACAGATATTTGAAGGTTCTAAGCAATAATTTAAAGGTTTAGCTGATAAAAAATCCGTGAAGACGTAGAACTGATTTGGCTTTGTTTTTGTTTTAAACAATATTCAAAAGTGAAAAAGTCATTTTTTTGCCTATATGAAATATATTTTCGACAATGAAAATTTATTTTTCGACACTGCACTAATTTTTCTTCTAGTACACTCTTTTGTTAACGTTGGGTCCTGAGCGGTTTTTATTACGGAAAAATACTGAAAAAATTAATAACAAAATATATGAAATTAATCCCCAGAGCTTTTGAGCTTATATGAACTTCGTAATAAATTTGAAATTTTAATCAACTTTATAATATTGCCCATTTGATTTTGCACGCAACTAGCAAATTTAAATCCAACTGGGAATTTCAATTTGCATTTTATCGAAACAATTTTGTCTAGTTATAATACTGTAACAACGCTAATAGCAAAAAACGCAAAAAAAAAATAAATAGGCAGAGAGGAAGCGAATACATGGTATTTTACAGTTCTTATGATATATTTATGCTTTTATTTCCCTACAGAATAATTAAGTTATACCTATGTACTCCCAGATACCATATATATAGTCTACTTCATTTGTCCAGGATCTTCTAATTCTGGTTCTCTTCCTTCTATTCATAGGGCTCCATTTTAGTATTTCCTTTTATCCATCTACGCTAGTTTGTTACTTTTCTTACAGGTCCTTAGCTGTTCTAAGTTAATATTTCTTTTTTTAGCAATATTCTCTGCTGTAATTTCTCCTTTACTATTCTACCTATTTTTGTCAGTATCTTTGAAGGTGTTACATCTGTTTTATGTCAAAATATTTCGCACTAATGTGTTCTTTGATTTTTTTTTGTGTTGTAGGCCTTCTTCTGTACCTGAGCCGTAATAATCAGAAGACTCACATATAATCTTACTGAGCTTTAGCTTTTATCTTTTTCCTTATGTCACGAGCTTTTTGCGAGATAATATGTTAATAACGCCGTATATCCCATGATCTGCAATTCACATATTTTTTCTCCAGATTCCTGCATCGTATTTGTTACAATTCGACAAGCTTTTTGTCTGCTTATCGAGACAATATCTTTTTCCATCCCATGGTTTTTATTTATCATCAATTCCCTTTAATAGCTTATACAATTTACCATTGGAACTATCCTTATTAAATGTATTATTTTATCTTTTCTTTTTAGTTAATAAGATACTGCTACTTCAACAGTGCTTTTATTAGTTTCTTAAAAGATTTGAACACAATAAAATATAAATAACTACCTTCTTGAACTTTTTTTTATTAATTCTATTGATTAAATTTATATTTTGATGTAGGGATCGCCAGTGGGAGATGTACAACGAGTGGACATTCATCAAAAATTAAGCGAGAGTGAGAAACTATACAAGGAAATGTCGCAGACTTGGGAGGAGAAACTGATGAAAACAGAAAGGATACAAAATGAACGGCAACAAGCATTAGAAAAAATGGGCATTAGTGTACAAGATTCGGGTATTAAAGTAGAGAAAAATAAATATTACTTAGTGAATTTAAACGCAGATCCTTACTTAAACGAATTGTTAGTTTATTATTTAAAGAATGAAACGGTGGTAGGTGCTAGTAGTAGTGGTTCTGGCAAAGAACCCGACATACAACTGTCTGGTTTGGGTATACAGCCTGAGCATTGTATTATAACCATAGAAGATAACGGTTTGTTCCTGGAGCCTCTTGCCAATGCTAGGTCTTGCGTGAATGGATCTCAAGTTAGTCAAAAGACGCCATTACGTCACGGTGATAGAATTGTATGGGGAAACCACCATTACTTCAGAGTGAACTGTCCTAGATCAATATGTAAGTATTTGTTTATGTGACATATTTATAAAACAGTGTCAAGTTCATAAAATACATTTATTATAAATTTTTAAAACTAGTTATAACGAGTTATTATATTTTTCCAGCAGCTGCTTCTGAGCCTCAAACACCAGCACAAAACATCGATTACAACTTCGCAAGAGATGAATTGATGACGAATGAGCTGAGCAATGATCCTATTCAGACGGCCATTGCTCGTCTGGAAAAACAACATGAAGAGGATAAGCAAGGTATGTTGCTATTTTTTAAATATATTCCATACTCTTGATTCCAGTGTATATGTTTTTGCTCACACATTTTTGTTTTTACACCTTTTTTATCATGTCTGTAGACCTATACTTCTCAGCATCATAAGAGGTACTGTCAAAATAATTTCCTCATGATTTTTGTGTATGATTGTGTTATCCAGTCATTGTTCCCATTATTATTACATGCAGTATATTCCATCCAGTACTTCCTCCTCTACTGTTTTGGTTGTTCGAATACGTTTGAAAATCGTTTGGTGGTAATTTTGAACCCAATTTTGGGGTAACGAACATTTTCCAAACTAAAAGTATGATAATAGTTAGTAATCAATGTAATACAATGGAATCAAACATTAAAAGTCAACTAAGTTGTAAGTACGAAAAATTGACAAAAGTTAAAGTGTAAGCATCAAAACAGCTATTAAGCAAAAATGGTTATATAATAATAATGGTTTTATTTAGTAATTTAACGATCTTCGTTGAAAGCTCCTGAACTGTCAAGGTGGGCTTTGCCTTTACGTCATCTGAAACCGTTACAAAATAACTTGTTAGTTAAATACGGCTAAAGCACAGATCAAAGAATATAGACGCATATAGGACAGTTCAAATAGACGATTTGGTCACGGTTGTGATTGCATAAACTCAAACCGTGGCCGTCGGCTTAAAACCATCATGAAATATGTAGTTAGGGGGAAGTTGGAAAGGAATATGAACGGAGCAATTTATTTAACTTATGCATTTACGTGTAATCAAATTTCGATGTCATTGATTTGCAAACTGCCTTTTTTTTTGTTTTTTTTTTACAACAATATCTTTATTTTTAATATATTAAATTGTTAAATTTTTAATTTTAAAACTTAAAAAGGTATGATATTTACAATATTCAAAGTATTTTTTTTTGTTGCATGTAAATAAAATTTTATTACTTTGAATTAAAAATAGGTTTGTTCCAACACTACAAAAAACCGTCACATAACTTTTTATTATAGTGTTTTCACTATATAAGACATTTATCTTTAAGTGCTGACATGACAATGAAATTGTACGGCGGCCATGTCTACGTTCAATGTATGCCTTATTGTCCCTTTAATCTTACCTAAACAATATTCCAGATCTGCTTGATATGATTCCCAATTTGTTTTACGAGGATTGCGATAAGTTTCCTTCATACGCTCATTGTCTGTCTCGATAGTCTGAACAAGCATACCATTTTTTAACAGTTTGGGATAAGTCACCAATCCGCAAAAGAAGGATACGGAAATCTTCCATAGAGGTGTTAATCCGCCAATGGACAACCAGAATTGTTAAGAGGAAAAAGAAGAAGAAGATATGTCTATGACACAATAAGCAAAATAAATCGTTGAGAGCGATCGAAAACCTGAAAGTACCGAGAAAGCAAACCTGGTAGAAACGTTGTCATGATAATCAGTTATAATAAAATAAAAATAATTAAAGAAGCAAAAATACATATTATGACAGTGTTGATAACAACGGTGCTACATGCAAGTGAGAGTTGGACTTTAACCCAAGCAGAGGAAGAATTCTATATTTGCAGAGAAAGAACTAATACTGAGAGTAATAGATAGCCCAAGTAGCCAAAACCGCTAGACTAAAATAGCTAGGATATTAAAAAAAATGAATGTAGAAAGACTACCAAAGACATTGAGGAAAACAAAGTTGGGAGGTGAAAAAAATATGACGTTCTAGAAAAAGATTGTTCAAGTAATTGGAGAAGGACTTATAATAGGAAAAGGTTAAAAGTTGTCCAGTGAAGGATAAAGATTGTGGGCTTTTTTAGCATTATTATGTACATCAGTCTTATTAATCTGAGCAGAGATACAGTATCCTCTAGGCCCCTTTCCGTTATCACGTATGCCACAAATTTCTCCCATCGGAGTTTATAAATAAAGTATATAGAACGAATTATTTTTCAAAAATCTCCCAAATTGTGAACATTTTTACACCCTTACACTTACGACAACCTTGTAAATTTGGAGGTACCTCTATAATTTTCATTTCCGAATGCTGAAAATCTTAAAACAGATTACTGCACTTCTAATACAAATATATATAAAATGTTTTAGACAACATACTCGTTCAACTGAAAAATTCTTTTGTGAATTTTTTTATATCCTTTAATCAGAGATCAAAGGCCTTGTTTTAAAACAAAATTCAGGCAATCTGGATAACCTTATTTGCCAGCGAATGAAAGTGACATGGAAAATAAATAGCAGAATCGAAATGGTCTTTTTTTTATTTTCCTCTTTGATAAAAATGTAATCACTGTAGAGGAAAGTTTCTGTTCAAGTAATAAGGTTAAAATGTAAAAAAAATACCACCCAAAGCGTAGAATTTTATTTTCAAAAACTTGTTTTACATATTTTTTGCGAAGAAAAATAAAACTGTGGAAATATGTAATCAACCTTTCCGTGGCGTTCCTCATAATGTTTGTGCGTATGGAAAAGTTTTCAATACGGTATAACATGATAAACTATACAGATTCTCAAGAAAATGGGATTGAACGAAATGTCTACTCGGATTCAGATTGTTTTCTTTCGATATCATGGAAATAAATTGGAAAATACATATTCTTAAAGCAGAGAGGATCGGAATATTTATTTTGTTGTCACTCGAAAATACTCGAAAATTTATAAATTTTTATAATATTGTGATGAAGGAAACAGATAAAGCTATTATCCTATTCTCAGACAGGATACAAATGTTGCAAATATAAACTACAAGCATATGCATCCACACAAGACTTTGAAAAATAAGAAATTGAAAAATTGTATCGTGATTTAGAAAAAAATATTAGAATCTACTTAGAAAAACGAGCTCAATATTGTTATGGGAGACTTTAATGTAAAGATTGGCGAATGGGAGCAGGGAGATATCATAAATATAGTCTGGGAATACGAAATGAAAGAGGAGATGTGTTTGCATCTTTTTGTATAGAAAAGCAACTAGTAATAACAAACACAGAATCGGACTATGCAAGGATAAGGAGGGGCATATACTCAATACAAAAGAAGAGGTATTGAAAAGGTGGATGGAACACTATAAAGAACTACTTTCTATCGAAGTAGAAGATCCAAGTCAACCACCCACAGGATCAAATAATAAAAAATAATGAATCTCCAGGAAGTGATGATATACCCGCGGAACTTATTAAATGTGGAGGTGCTGCTCTGAGTAATCATATATATAAAATAATACTGAGAGCCTGGAATGAGAACAAATCATGGAAAAGTGGTGTATTGGGATCGTTTGCCCGCTACACAAAAAGGGCGATCAATTGGAATGTAGAAACTATAGGGGAATAACCCTCCTTAATACAGCATACAAAATATTTTCGAGTATTTTATATGGTCGTCTGAGTGCATATTGAGAGGAGCTTCTTGGCGAATATCTACGTGGTTTTAGGCCTGGTCGATCAACAACAGACCAAATCTTTGTGCTAAGGCAAATATAAAAAAAAACCCAATGAATTCAATATCGACACATATCATCTTTTCGTAGATTTTAAATCGGCCTATGGTAGTGTCCTAAGAAATAAATTGTATGAAGCCATGGATGAATTCCACATCCCCGATAAACTGATTAGATTGGTTAAGGCTACAATGCGTAAAGTTGTTTGCAAAGTCGGAATAATCACAGGCATTTGAAACGCATGTTGGGCTGCTACAGGAAAATGCGCTGGTGTGTCTCTTTGTCAACATAGCTCTGGAAATGGCGGTCAGGGATGCCCAAATAGACAACAGGAACATTTTTAATAAATCATCCTACATTTTGGCATATGCAGATGATGTTGACCTAGTTGCCCGCACAACACGCAAGCTAAAATAAATGTATACCACCTTGTCAAATGCTTGAGCCAGAAACATCGGCCACCAATTCACGGTTGATAACTCTACCTTTGAACTTGTGGACAAATTCAGATACTTAGGCTTCCTGATCACCAAGGAGAACGTCATGACTGAATGACGTAGACATATGAGAAGCCAAAAAACAAAAATAACCATATACAACACCCTTATACAACCAGTGTTGACATATGGATCGGAGACATGGACTATTTCCAAGGCAGATGAAAACTTCCTGGTTATATTTGAACGAAGTATCCTGAGAAGAATATTCGGTGGCATCTGTGAAAATGGTGTTTGGAGAAGGAGGTACAACTATGAGATATATCACAGATATAAACATATATTTGGTGGTAAAGACGTAGTATCTTTTATAAAAATAGGAAGACTAAGATGAGCAGGACATCTGGCAAGATCACAGCAGAACAACCTTCCTAGAAGAATCCTTATGTCACAACCTGTGGGAAGTAGAAGTAGGGGTAGGTCAAAACTCAGATGGAGAGATGGTGTAGATAAGGATGGTAGAAAAATAGGCCCAGCAAACTGGCAATAGTTGGCAGTGGATAGAACTGGATAGACTTGGGAAGGTCGAGGCTCTTTTATAGGGCTGTAGCAATGATGATGATAAAAAAAACAAGAAGAAAAAAGGGATGATGACAGAAGAAATACTGAGACCTATGGACCAAAGAAGATAAAACAAAAATAAAGATATATGATATCCAACGATGGAACTAGAAGAGATTTGTGAATTATATATTTATTGAAGATCACACTAACTCTACAGTGACATTAGAATAATACAAATGCAATGTAAAAACCCTATTAATACTTATATTTCAGCAAGCAGAAAATAATTATTGATTCAATTATTTGTATTGTCCGCAGTTTTCCCTATTATATGCAGAGCTTCATCAAAATAAATTTTAAGAAAAACATTTTGATATGGTAGTTTTGTATTAAATTTTTATCATTTTTATTACAATTTTATTACAGTTGCCTTGGAAAAACAACGCGTGGAATATGAAAGACAATTCCAGCAACTACGAAATATGGTTTCCCCTTCCACGCCGTACTCACCATACTCCTACGACCCTCTTAGAATAGGCTTAAGTAAGACTGCCCCCTGTACACCAACAACACAAATGAAAGTAGAAAGATGGGCGCATGAAAGAGACGAGATGTTTAGAAGAAGTATATGTCAATTAAAAGACGATATTCTTAGAGCAAATGCCTTAGTTAAAGAGGCCAATTTTCTCGCAGAGGAAATGGCTCGGCAAACTAAGTTTAGTGTTACCTTACAAATTCCTCCGGCTAATTTGAGTCCCAACAGAAGGGTAAGTTTTATTTTATTTTATACTTCAGGTGGGGTAATTTAAGCGAAGTTGGAACTGTAATAGTCGAGTGCTTGGCTAAACTTTATGTCGAGATGATTAAAAATTCCTCACACGTTTTAGTTTTGGTATTACGAGGGTAGATCAAGTGTGAATTTACTTTTTTATCTAGTTAGGAAAACTTAAGTAAAACAGATAAATGAAGAAGTTGGGTATTTGTCGCATTCTGTCTTGCAGCTCCAAAAAATGCTAGTTTCATTAAAATTTGTAGAAAGTTGCATAGTGAGTAGATGGAATCATTGGAAACAGTGCCCAACAAACAAGTGAGATTTTTGCATATACAGTATCGGAAAGGATGATAAACTTTTATTTTATTCGTCAGCTTATCGTGAGAGGTTATTGATTGGCGGATATTTAACAAATAGTGGAAGTTAATTACACTCGCATCCAATGGATAAAAAAGAAAAAAGAAAATTGACCAGTAACGGAGCGAAAAACTCATGTGTTAGCTGGTACTGTTTTCGCCACAGAATTTTGGAATTACTAAGATTGCAAGGTCTGTGAAAGTCAAATTTGCTCCAACCAATTCGGGTTCACAATGCTGCTGGTACTAGAGAGGCTTTGTTCTCCGTACTAGTCTTATTCCAGAGATGCAGAGACGTCAACTGCGACGTATACGCATGTCTAGTTGATTACGAGAATGCATTTGATTGAGTACAGCACGCCAAGATGATGCAAATACTAAAAGAAGCAGGAATTAACAACCAAGATCTGAACATAATTAGAAATCTTTACTGGAAATAGACAGCAAATCTCAGAATTGAAGGTGAACATACTGACCCTCCGAGCTGATACTGATACCGAGTCTCAGAATCTGTTTCAATACAACATCTGTGCAGCTTTTCCGCGCTGCTGCAGATAAGGTAAATATTGTCATGATGATCGCTAACATTCGTAACGGATAGGCACATCAATAAGAAGAAGAAGAAGAAGAAGATTGCTGGTTTGTTAAAGACACATTTATTATTATTGTGAAACGATATTCGTTAATAATAATTCCACATAAAGCTATTAACACAAGTTAATTCATATGTGACGACCCTCGTAACACAAGTGTACGCATACGAGGGGAGAACTAAAAATTATTTTCAAAATATTACTTAATAAATTATTTTCGTTCTGTTTCAATATTTTTTTTCTTTACAGAAAGGCGCTTTTGTGAGTGAACCTGCAATATTAGTAAAACGAAATAATAATAGTCAGGTGTGGTCGATGGAAAAATTAGAAAATAAAATTATAGATATGAGAGAATTTTACGAAGAGAATAAAGATATGGATGAAGATCAAGGCCAAGATCAAGAAAACAACAATGAAGTAAAAGGGCCAGGTCCGTTTTACGAATCGCAAGAGGAACATAATCTAATAGGAGTAGCTAATATATTTCTTGAGTGTTTGTTTCATGACGTATCTTTAGATTACCACACACCTATTATCAGTCAACAAGGAGAAGTAGCTGGTAGGTTGCAGGTACGTATTCAAACCAAATACTTTAAATTATTGAAGTCAGAGCAAAATAATTAGGCTTGCGTGTCATAGATTCCAAATTTGTTCTTATTTTTCTCGTTTATTAGGCTGTTAATAAATAAATTTGTAGAGTTTAAAACAAATAATGACAGCCAACGCTTTTAAAGTAGATTAAAAAGAATGACTTGTGTTGCTATATTAATATACATACATTTATATTTACATTGTTGTAGGTTGAACTAAGTAGAATAGCGGGACAATTTCCGCAAGATAGAATATGTGAGGCAGCATCAGACAATTCGTCAGAATGCAGCCACGATGAAGATGAGCAGGGCACATCACAAGTTACGATTCGTGTCAATATCAAACAAGCGTCCGGTTTACCTCTGTCTCTTGCCAACTTTGTGTTTTGTCAGTATTCCTTCTGGGGTCACCCAGAAGCCGTAGTAGTACCTGATAACTCGGGCAATTGTAACGGTCAACCAACAACTGTTAAATTTGGCCATACCCAAGATTTTGTCGTGAATCTTTCAGAAGAGTTTATGGAGCATTGCTCAGAAGGGGCGCTTTCAATAGAGGTGTGGGGTAACAGGAGCTCTGGATTCTCTTCATACAAGCCTGGATGGGAGGTGGTAGAACAGCAGCTGGCTACAGCTAGATCATTACTAGACAGGTGGTCGGAATTAACTAGAAAAATAGAATTGTGGGTAGAAATTCAGGAACTGAACGATCAAGGTGAATATGGCGCTGTGGAAGTTGCTATGAGAACTGACATGTTAACAGGGGGTATTTATCAGTTAAGACAAGGCCAACAACGAAGAATTCAAGTTAGAGTTAAACCAGTGCAAAAATCGGGTACTCTTCCGATAATTTGCCAAGAAATTATTAAAATTGAAGTGGGCGGAGTTACCGTTAGAAGTAGACTACAGAAACCCTTAGACTCGTATCAAGAAGAAGACTTAACTATACTAAGAGAAAAATGGAGCGACGCTCTACAGAAGAGAAAACAATATCTACACCAGCAGCTGCAAAATCTCTCAGAAAAGACGAACAAAACTGAACAAGACGTCGAAAGAGAAAAGAGTTTGATGGAACAGTTAGTGAATTTAACTGAAGAGAGCAATGCTGTATACGTCCCACAACCTGGTACGAGCATACCTGGTGCTCCTGCCATGTGGAGCCCACCACCTGGAATGGAACCGCACGTGCCAGTTCTTTTTTTGGATTTAAATGGTAAGTAAGGTTCTAGGAAAATGCCATAAATTCTTACATTTTAACAGACATAAATGTCAGATATGACTACGATAAATCAAGAGACAAACTAATAAAGAGAAAACTAAAAGAATTTATGGAGTTATATTTATTTTTGTTTGTGCAATTGCGAACTTTTTAGCTGACGATTTATCGACCAATCCTGCTGGAGAAGGAGTGACAACTGCAGGAGTAAACTCTATTTTGCCAAAGGAAGATGGAAAAGAGTTTTATACTTTGCGGATACTCAGTCATTTGGAAAAAGATGTGTGTGCAGTTGCGGCGTGGGATTCTTCAATTCATGACAGCCCCAATCTTAACAAAGTAACTGAAGGTGAGTTTGCATCATTTATATATAGTTTTTACTGAATGGAATTAAAATTGCAGCGAACGAAAGAGTTTACATGATACTACGTGTAACGGTACGGTTGTCCCATCCAGCACCGATGGATCTTGTATTGAGAAAACGACTGGCCATAAACGTTTATAAACGTCAAAAGTTTACTGATATAATCAAAAACCAAATCAAATCAAAAATCGTTCGTACTGATATGGTGACATCTTGCGGTGTTACATATTTAGTAGTTTCTAATGTACCTAAAGCAAGCGAGGAGCTTGAAGGCAGGGAAAGCCTCGCACAATTGGCAGCTTCTGGAGAAAATTCTTCGATGTGTGATGGAGAAACATATATCGGTGAGTAAAAATGTAAATGTTTAGTGATCCTTTTTATTAAAAACGTATATTTCTCTTGTTTCAACAGAAAAATATACGAGAGGTGTGAGCGCAGTTGAAAGCATTCTAACATTAGACCGTTTACGACAAAATGTAGCAGTAAAAGAACTGCTGCAAGCCAGAGGACAACCCTTAATGAGGAAAACAGTCAGCGTACCAAATTTCTCACAGGTAAGAACATAAAACCAAGCTTCCCAAATTGATATCTACACAAGTATTTAAACCTGTCACACACGCTTTTAATTGTTATTTTTGTCAATATACGAGATGTGGCTACAAATAACGAAATTAATGCTTTGTGATTGCTAGGTTGATGAATAAAAATGGCATCCTTTTCGGCCTAGTCTGGTACCATTTGAATTTCTGAATCTACATTAGAAGGCTGATAGTTTACACTGGAAAATTTACATAGAGCTTTGTTGTCTATAAATTTCCTTCTATTCGTTATTTTTCAGCTACACCTTGTATTACACAATATCCACAAGAGTTAGGTAAAGGAACTATATTTGAGATATGTCCAAAAAACAATTTGCTTGTCTTGACACCGTTATTTTAAATAGTAGGTAATAATATGTTATTTATTTTTGCTGCATAGACTTTGGAAAACAAAAATGGGGTACGTCTATGGATATCACGCTTTCTATGCTTTTAAAGTTATTAGGTAGATCATGCACATACCAGTTTTTTATTTGTACGACTCATACTAAAAATATTCCATATTACAGAATTCTTTCAATTACCTTTTATGATGTTTTTTATTGGCATTCCTTTTTATAAGGTTCACGACATTAAACATTCTATTACAGATCATTCAAGTATATTTAGTCATAAACGTGTACTCCAGTCAATGAAGAAAAAAAGCTGAAAAAATTCTTTACAGATATTTGAAGTTTCTAAAAGGTATATGAGTGGTAGCTGATGAAAAATCCGTGAAGGCGTAAAGCTGATTTTGTTTTGTTTTTTTTAGACAATCTTAAAAAGTGAAAAACGTAGTTTTTTGCCTAAAAACTTTGTACATTTTTCACATTTGGTCCCAGTGAAGATAGCCTCAAATGAGCTGTCAATTAAGTTTCACATAACGAAATATTGCGTTGGCAGTGTTACCATGTGCTTATAATGTATATGTTAATGCTTCAAATACAAAGAGAGAAAACTTACGTACTTTTAAAGAGAAAACTTTTAAAACGTACATTTTTATATTATTTTATGAATTCTGCAATTTTATAACTTATATAAAACATTAATGAATTACTATTTGTTTCTTTAATAGGTTAGCGGATAGATTTGGGAATAGAGTCAGAACTCTCAAACCACCCGTTGCCAGGTTGCAACACATGTCTTTTTAACTTTATTATTTATATTGATATTTTACTATTTACTTTTATCGCTCTCTGGGATCATCAATCAGCAAATCGCGTCCACTGCTGAACATGGTCTCCCTCAGTTCTTTCCAGTGTTCTCTACACTGGACCGCTTGTAGCCAGTTTCCCGCTACACGGTTTGTGTTGCAGTAGAAAGTTGGTAAGCATTTCGCCTCTTTCGTTTCTTACTCCGATTCCAAAATCTCCGATTGCCACTTCTTGTCCGTCCTTTTTCCTTCTGAGTTTCCCGTTAAAACCTCCCATTATCAGATTGTAATGGGCCGGTACTTGCTTTTTTGCTCTTTCGATTTCGTCATAGAAGGCTTCAACAATTTCATCTTCGTAATCGCTGGTGGGGCGTATACCTGGATTATTTTCAGATTGTATCTCTTATTTAGTATATTCATAACTCTTAAGAAAATGCAGTCAATGCTCTGCATATTTTTCTGTAATTTTTTGTGTACTAATAAACCTATTCCTCCAGTTCTCGATTCTGTTTCCCCTTTATAGTGGAATATGTTGCCTGATTTTAGTTTGACCTGATCTTCACTACTTTTTTTGACTTCGCTAATTCCTATAATATCCGATTTCACATGTTTGAGTTCTTCCTCCAGTTTTCTTCCAGTTCCGTCATTTTTTCATCCTTAGATAAATTCTTACATTATACATAAGTATGTTCAGCTTTCGTCGTTCTTAGTAGCTTCCTACAACCCTGGGATTCTTTGCACCCTGTGCCCGCTGCCCGTGAGTCCTACCCCTTCCTTGGTTGGGAACTAGCGAGCTGCCGGGGACTGAGGGCTGTTTTTCTGAATGTCTGTTCATGCTGAGGGGGTTTGGCATTTAAATACTACGCTTGCCAGACGGGTTGGTGAGTTGGTTTGGGAAATTAAATAACTTATAAACTATTCGGTCGATCTATTTGAAGTTTAGCACTCTTTAATGACTCAAACAAAGTTATTAATATTTATAAATTACTGCAAAATTATGATTTTTCTCTTAACTGCATAGGAAACGTTTTATATGCAAAAAAATGACTTTTTCACTTTTTAAGATTATTTGAGACAGAAACAAAGCAAAATCAGCTGTCTTCGCTAATTTTTTATCAGCTACCTCTCATATATGAGCGAATTCGTCATTTATTGTGAGGCATTTAGCACAAATTAAAAATTGTATTGATTGGACGTCATTTTTAGTTGTAGGAAATTTTCTTTAACACGTTCGCTGCATGTCAAAAAAGGAAACTATAAATATCGGTGGTTTGTTTTATTATCGAACGTGAATTTCCATCAAGTAACTGCCAATTTTATAAATACTAATAGTATAAAAAAAAAAAGAAAAAGATTGAATACAACAAAAATGACATAGAAACTATTTTTTTAAACGAAGCTGACGAAATTTGAACACAAAGTGTCCAAATTCGAATGGTTAGTGAATTTATAGCAGTAATATTAATATGTAACGACTTAGAAATTTTCAAGCTGAAGCTTCCGTTTATAAACACTTATAATACGACCTCAGACTTAAATGAACGATGTGTATTACCTACCTGAAGCATGTCCAATAACTGTAGCTGTTTAACATGTGCATATCATAGTGGTATTCTTTACGACGCACTTTATTTATTCAAACATTCTTTTAGTTGATGAGACTTGACCTCAGCAGTGAATCGTTGCACATGTCGCGATCGGAAAGCGTCTCAGAGCTCAACAGTGAGTTGGGATTGACCCCCTTGAGAGGGCGTTCGTCCTTCGGGAAGGACAATGAAGTGACGCCTCCGAAATTCGGAGGATTGGGTAAGTTACTCTATTGTTTTATAGAATATATTAACAAAGTTCCGTTTTAAATTAATTATTGATAATATTTTGTCTACATAGTTTATAGCATTAGAACGAGAAGCAAAGGTAGATATGAGTGTGGTAAAAAATTGGTGTATTAGGAAATCAGATATCAGTTAGCATAGTTTACTAATATGGTATGTTTGTACGGTTGTACTTTCTTTAGATGAAGGTTGTGTTTAGAAAAAATACACTAGATCATAGGATTTTAAAACGATTAGCGAAATGAACCACCTTGATTAATTGTTGAAAAAAACGATTTTTATTGATTTCTTACAGATTAACAAGCGAGAGTTGGCAGGTTATGTGCGCACAAATAAAAAAATTCTAGAAGATAGAATATGTTTTAGGCGAATTTTATTGTGAGTGCTGTGTTGTCATTTAACCAATTTAATAGGTATTTAAATATTACCAAACTACCGCCACTAGGTTTAGAAGTTATGTGTTTATCTTGTTTATTACAGTAGAATCCATTATCTAATAATCGCAATATCATTGTCAACCAAATTGACGTTTCGATTTCCATTTCGGAAATCGTTTTCAAAATAAATTTATTTTCAATTAAAATTATAGTTATATACAGCTCAACAGGTCCTAGAGGATGACTTGGAATTTTTCAATTTTCTTCGTTTGTTCGTCTCCTCCAAACGTCGTCATAGTCTTTTTCTCCCCCGAATATCTTTCTTAAAACACTCTGTTCTCAGATGTTCAGCATATTTTCTTGATTTTTGTTCTTAATCCAGTTTTTGCTTATATGTACGTATACTCTCAATTTTGCCTCTCTTAAATGTTTTTTTCGGTTAGTAGTTTGTGTAGAGCTCCAACAGTCTTCCTCCTCTCGAAATATGCTTATCAATTTCTTGGCTTTCTTCCTCTTTACTTGTTAGGATTACTCCTAAATACTCAAACTCCGTCACCTTTTTGAAGCAATACTCTTTGCTCTCGTTTTTTGTGGTAATCTTCTGTTGTATGCCTTCGTTTTTGATCTGTCAGATACTGTTCAGCCTTCGCTTCAAAGAGTTTAAAAATCCTTAGCAGTTCCCCTTCAGTTCTTGCAATTAACACCACATCGTCCGCAAAGGCCTGGTTTCTGTTCTCATAAATCATACTTTTCGTTCGTATTCCACTCTGTCTCATTATTGCCTCCAGCAAGAAATTGAAGAGTATTGTGAACAGCGGATCTTCCTGCTTTAGTACCCTTCTTACTTCAAATTTTCCTGATAGGCTTCCTTCTATCCTTACTCTAGTCTTTACTAGTCTGATCATCTGTTCCGAAATTTCAAGTACTCTTGCAATCATTTTTGTGCAAACAATTCGTGATTTATGGTTCTAATTACTTGAACCACCTCGTTAATCACCAGATCTGGCTCCGTCTCTCTATCCAGTGTTTTCTCAAGAGAAAAAAAATTAGAAAGGCATAAATTGTCGTTCAAAAAAGAGGTGATGGTAACTGTTGAGACTTGGTTTGCAGTGCAATATATAAAAACAATATTTTAAAAGATTAAGTCGATTTAAAAGACGAACGGGTGAGTCTATTGAATAATAAATGATTTTGTCTTTCAAATATTGTTTGCCTCTATATTAGGCTAAGAAGTTTTCAATATATCCTCAGATATGAAGGCTTGACTGATGCACCCTCACTTCAGCCATATTATATACTGGATCATTGTCCTTTTTCTCGGGATAGAATGAGTGTCCAACTGAATACAGGCCCACAGGTAGGTAGTGAAGGATAGGAAAAGTTTGAAGGGCCATTGATTGCGAGATACTCAAGATTCCTATAGACGAAAAGTGTTTTATTGAAGGTGATTTGAATAAACATATCGGTACAGAAAGAGCGAGAATAGAAAGAGTTCATGGAAGTTTGGGGATGGGAGTAAGAAATGTTGAAAGAAATAGTGTGATTGACTTTGCAGTGGCATGGGATTTGGCTGTCATTAATACGTTCTTTATAAAGACTAAAGACCAGAATGTTACCTATAGTAGCGGGGGAAGGGAAAGTCAGTTAGATTTTGTGCTGTGTAGAACAAGTCAGCGAACTGTAAAGTGATAAAGGGTGAGTGTTTAACTAGTCAACACCGACTGGTGATAGTGAATACAGAGATAAACGTATGGCGGAAAGGAAAGCAAGTAGGACACCAGAAAGTAAAGTGGTGGAAGTTAAAATAAAATGTGGCGATTGTTTCGTATTTTCTTCTAACCAATATTGCCAGAACTCGCTTGTTCATTTGTACAAAATAATTTAAAAGAAATCTATTAAAATTTAGCAAATCAATTAATTTGACATGTATTCTATATAAACTTCCGATTTGTGCACTGGAACATTCAGTATAGTAATAAATTATTGCATTTTCCTATGTTTTAAACCAAATAAAGTTAGCTACCATACAAAAAGCGTACAAAAACTCGAGATGAATATATTGAAATAATCAAAGATTTGTATTGGAAACTAATCAAAAAAAGGATTGAAAGAAGAACACTGAATGGATATTGAAAGAAAAGAAGACTTCGAACCAATGACATACAAGAACATTGGTGTTAGGAATCTCGTTTACAAAGGTAGCAAAGAAGATGAATTGATACAACTTGAGGCAAAAGTGACAGATAACAAAGAGACAAATCATTTATTATTTGCTCGATTTGGTTATGGTATTAACATTTCTATATAAGATGTCTAAAATTGTCAGGAGTTTTTGATACATAATTTAACATTATCTACACTAAATATTACATAACATAATGATTTTGATATATGGTGTCCCAAAAATCACATGATAAGAAATTTTTTTTAAATATTCCATAATAGCTTTTACATAAATGTGATCGAATATTTGTATAGCACTTAATTTCTTCTTTCAAAACTTTGGTTTGATGGCACGATTTGTAGACTTAATAAAGTGAAAATTAGACAAGTAAGAAATAATTCACGCAGCAATTCCTACGTGCTAATCAATCTTTCAATTTAAGGCCAAAATCTCAACTAAAAGAAGATACACGTGAACATAACTGTGACTGGATTTATTTACTGTGAAGTTTTGGATTTTTTGCACTCCACGTGCAATAATTATGATGATAAAGAATGCTCTTAAAATAAATATACTTAGTTTGTTTAAATAGACAATTATTGGTTGTTTTTTTTTCCGAAATCTCTTCAATCTTCTTTTGTCAACATTTTACGATTTTGAAAGCTTGTGTGAACTTTGGGATACCCTATACATTAATAAAACATGATAAAACCAGAAAATTAGCTTGAAGGAGATTTAAATTCTCCCAATTTGATTTTAAAACGTTAATTATCTGAGATTTATTGGTGTAGCATTATAATTTCATAATGTGACTAATATTTCATTCAATTTCCTTCGTGCATCCACAAGGCTCCATTCTCTCAGGTAAAATGGAGGCTTGCATACTAAGATTGCTATATTAGGTGGAAATTATGATGTGACAAGTGAAAAAGTCACCTGCTTGAATTATATATTCAAAACAAGGTTTGAGATTGTGTTCTGCGTCTCAAATCTATGTTAAATCTGTAGTTAGAAGAGACTGCTTCACAAAAAGAAAGGTTCAGGCTTTTAACAAAGTATCAGCATCATGTAACGAACAGGACAGACAATTTTCTAAAACGTAAATGTCACAAATTAATTTAGGATGGTAGATATAAAATGATAGTTTTTTTCTGATGTTACAGTTTAGTGCCATGTTGAGACTTCTAGTGTACATGCTTCTCCTTCATACATAGCATAAACTATGTATTCTAGCACTCAATTTTTACATCAATGGTTTTTCAAGTAGTTATAGTTATTTTATTCTATTTTTTTCATATAATCTAAAATTACACACCATTTACTGTTTGTTATACTCGTAATTTTCTTGTTTTATTCTCGCAGATTTCGTCAGAGTTTTATCTAAAATTACCCACCAATTCATTTTAAAAGCGTTTATATTTCAAAAATTATAAGAATATTTCTTTGCGTTAGAAAATTGTTCATTCTTAACTAAAATCTAAAGTCGTATAAAAAGCCACACCTTCAACTTTTTGTGTCAAGTCTATTGTAGATAAAAATCAATAGCATGTTATGGATATAAGTTGCCATTTTAGTTTAGCTTGAATTGAATCAATTCAGATCAGATAGAAATAATTATTCTGGCAAGCCCCAGTACAATGAAAATTTTACTGCTAATTTAGATGACAAAAAAATATAGCTAATGAAATTGCTGAAATGTTTGATGACTTTTGTACAATTTAGAGCTTTCATAGAGCATTTCGTTATTATCGTCGCCCATCTCAAGTATCTCGTGAAAAATCCACAAATTATAAAATTGGGTTTTGTCAGTTCGGCTTTTAAGTCGGTCAAATTAAGTGGCACCTCAGCAATTTGGTAACATATTTAATATTGTCTTCATGTACACTTATATTTTCCACTTCTCTTTCATCATTTCTCTCTTATTATTTGTTTATTAGATTGCAATTTGTAATGTTCTAGAGAACACGTGTTCTTGAAGGGACTATTGATTTAAAAATTTATATCATTCTCTCAAAAGAGTAGATAGGCACTCTAAAACGGTCCATAACTTGCAGTAGTCGCTCTATTTGAGGTATTTTCTCGCTACTTAACACCTCACATGCAAGAATTGCGAATGGTAAAGAGGGAAAAAATTTGTGGATCAGTGTGATGTGGATGTTCATCACTGTCACAATATTCACCCTAATGTTTGCTTCGTAGGAGGTATTGTGTAATGCTAACTGTATATTGAGAAATATACTCAGCATTACCACTTAATTTTCTAGAACGTATCATCCTCTGTACGAGATGATACAGTGCCGTTTTCTATATAATTCTGCTTCAATGATGTGTCGAATTTTCAACCAATAGACCATCCCTAATGTGCCCATCGTGCGGTTTTCGTGCCTATCACACTTATTAGTTTCAGAAAGTTAGTTTTATCCTGTCCAGTATTGCCAGATTTGGGTATAAAAGCTACCCCACGGCTCTCCATGCTCTTGGTATGCCCCAATGCTAAACTAAGCTGTGGCATTTTAGACAGATTTATGCAATATTTTATTGAGTAAGAGAAATTAACACAATTAATCGGATCACTTATATGAACAGATCTTCAAGCGGCCATGGCATCTTTTAGAAGCCCTGTGCTAGTTCGCAATGCCAAGAACTCTACATACAGGCAGAATATAAGTGTCATACACTTATAATAAATGAATATGAAAGAGCTGATACACTTGCTAGAAGAGCATCAGCTACAAAATATTTCAGTCAAGAGCCTGTCATAGAAGTGACAAAATCCCCAACCTGAAAAAGTCTGGATCCGAACACAAAAACGTCAAGGTCACTTCAGTGTCACAGTTACGAGACACTTTCATACAATGGTGGTGTTTCATCGACACTTAAGCTGCAGACTCGTAGCAGAAAACCTTAAATATGACTGTGAAACACTTTATCGCAGGTAGCACACTTTTGGAGACTACCAAGTGACTCCAAAAACATATGGTACTCATCTACTAGACTTGTACAAGCTGGTATAGGGTTTTGAAATTTTGGAATGGGAAAAATGAATAAAAGGAAGATGTAAAACAAAGTCAGCCTGTAGTAGCATACACAATCTGTTGTATAGGGTATTTCCCTTCCGTAGAAGCATTAAACAAATCCCGTCCGGACACGGTCAAATGAGTTTATTGCTCGTTTGAATTTGTCCTTATGTAAGTTTTTTCTAAAACCATTAATTAGAGCTCCAGTCCAGTGTGTTGCCGTTTCTCTAGTGATACCATTTCAGCTTCGGAAAGTGTCAGCTGAAAAGTTCTTCCACCATTCCGAATTCATTCTCCTGGCTCTTTTGAAGTGAAATTATACTTACCTGGGGGTCCTTAGAGAAACTTTTATGAAGCTTTGACAGTTCTGTATAGCAATAATAGCTTTACTGACAGAGGGTTTCTAGGGAAATGTAATTCACCCATTATTGTTATCAGAAAATAGGAAGAACGTTGTGTCCATGAATATCGATGATAGTAGAATCCATAGAATGGACTCATATACAAATAGACTTGTATTGTCCTACTTCTTAACTATCACAAGATTAAGTGAATAGGTCTAACCATATCTCATCCATTAAGCATTTCTTAGCTATTAATCGTTTAATTTTGGTGTAATTTACAAATTAATTTATCAATTATCAAGTTATTGATCAAAGTATTTATCTTAGAAAGTAATTCTGAAATTGCAATAATCTTTATCTGCGTATTTTGGGGCAGTACGGTACTGTGCTTGTTAAAGACAGTAATTGCCAACATCTCATTATTGTACAAATCTCATGTAACTGTAATAAAGTCAGGGAGACATAGACAACTCAAATCAATCCCAAAAACTACCGGGTGCATCGTGAGCATGTGTAGTGAACATAGACATGGACATTTAAAAATATTTACAAGACTGCTTTGATTCGGATTTTTTGATCAACGTATATAAAATAAAAGTCTTAGCGATTGGTATAAAACGCTTACAAAAAAAGTCTTGTATGTGTACAAAATTAGATCGTTTTCGTTTTACAATTGGCTAACCTGCATGTTCTGTTTTTGTTAGACCAGTACTATGTCTCTTGTGGCTTTAAACTAACTAACTTACCTTTTGTATCATGACTTTAAATTAAATGTAGAAAAAATGGTAATCGTTATGTCCAAGCACGTTAACTGCGGTGTCCTTTAAGTGTACTAAAACCGAAACTTTGATATTTCAGCCCGACCCACGTTCTTAAATCTCAATTTAAACTTGAACTCATTGAGATTGCAACAGCCGACAAGTACCAAACGTATGTTATTGTTAAAAGCTGGATATGTTGAATTTTGTTTTTTTTTTTAATTTTTTTTGGTTTGTTTATTTGGGATAGTAGAACAAATAGGTTGTGAACTATACTACGCATAGAAAGAGAATTTCATACCATATTTTGTTTGTCGTTGTTTTTGTTCCTTCAAGAAACATTATACAATCGTTTCCTTCTATTTCATCTACCATGTTACTAAGTTGAATGATCTATATATTTCCTCGTTGGTCTTTAATACCCATTAAAAGCTTCTCCGTTGAGGAGTTGGCGAAAAACCTATTTGATAGTACTTTACCATGCCCCTTCCACTTCCTCATCTGCTCCCACTCACCAGTCTCTGTCTCTTTCATATACATATACATGTAGATCTGACTTCTGATGCAGTTCAACACTCTCTTTTTTGTTCTATCCTTTCCTTTATTTTTATTTCCTTGTGCCAAGCCACTTAGTTATTAAAATCTCTTCCAACTACAATTTTTTAGTTTTGTTTATCTCAAAATATAAATCAGAATTGATCGTAGTTAACATTTCTTTCCTCTTCACCCAATTATCTTATATATTTAATGTATTGTTACCAATTCTGGAATTTTGTCTTTTAATCTCAATCCGTCGTCATGAATTACATAGTTTCAAATTAAATCGTGACTTCAAAACTTATTTAAGTAGAATTGTTCACAAATATTTGTTCTTTTTGTTTAATTAAATGGCCAGCATGTTTTATATTTTGCTTATGTGTTAACACATCCCTCATTGTGTTATTTTTTCTGGGATCCGATTCTATAAAAAGTTTCTGTCTATTACATAAACCTTACGTAATTCATTAATTTAAATTTATCTTACAGACGAAGCCTTAGTTGTAAATAATTATATAAACACAGAAAATCGGATCTCATTAGGCAAATTACAATATTTGGTTTTATAAAAAATAGTTTTTTGATTTATTGTAAATAATTTTGTGTGTTGCTTTTATTTTGGTTGTGTTTGAAACTACTAAATACAGGAGGCGATCAAATTATTTGTAAAATTAAGTAATTTTAGCTTTTTGAAGCAGTTTTATTGCGTTGATAAACTCCATGTGACCAACTTAGCTAATAATTATTTACTAGACACTTTGGACTGGGTAAAGTGAACAAAGTATACCAAGCGTCGCATCATGTGACCAATAATTTGATCGCCAACTATAATTTGTTATTCTATGATCCTTATTATAAATTTATTTAGTTTTCCCTGGAATGGTATCACCAGCCAACACCAAATTAGGGTTAAGGATGACTACTTTACACGAAGAACCAACTAAAGCGTTACCAAGGAAGCATTCCTTTGATCTATTAATGGATGATCCAATTGAAGAACAAAGCGAGGAAGGATTAAACGGAAAATCGGAAATCCACGTAAGTAAATATTTTACTGTGTATTAATTCTTAAGGCACTCATCACTGTATAATGTCTTGTATTTATATTTAACGATCATTTCAGTATGTACAAAGGAAGAAAACTTACGCCAAGAAATATTTGCCAATGTCACGTACTTTAGATTCTTTGACGGAATTTGCACCAAAACCCAACACTCCATCTTCGAGTTCCAGTGGATATGGATCACAAGCTGTTTCAACTACAAATCTTTCTTGTGATGATTCCCTGTCGATGAAAAGTATGAGTGTTGATGAAACTCCCGATTTTGATGGTAAAATGAACAACGATCTAGAACCAGTATCAGAAGTAACGGATATTTCTAAGGAAGTGGAGGTAGATACATGTTTAATTTTGCGTGCACTCGTTTACTTATATTATTGTTTTTGCAGAGACTGTCCATTGAAGAAGAACAACACTCCACCAACAACGATGAAAGCTCAGACGACATCGTGAACGGCGGTGACAGCGACTCAAACCCAAATCAAACTGGAAGTGACCTTAACGAATCAAATTCCGTTGTAAAAACGAATTTATCCCCAGGGCGAGTTGTAAGAAGGAAAAAACAAAGCACTAGAAGCCAGTCACACAGGGCATCTTTTCCACAAGCTCGATCAGTTATGTCGGAAAGTAAATCAGCTCATAACTTGGGAAGTAAAAACAACTTGGTGTTGTCTGAAGAGGATAGTATGGACAGTTCTACCGATCGACTAGAAGGTAAGATAGACTGGTTTATAAGGTCGTTATTTTCAAATAATGTAGTTAGTACTTTATATACAACGTTTTCTAGTGATTCTGATAATTACTTCCTGTTATCGTAGATATTTCCTTTTGTATAGGTCGATAGAGTATTTCTGCTTTCTATCCTCATTACAAATTTTCTGGATTAGTTCCACCTATTTTTTTAACATTATTCCTATGGTTGAATTAAAATAGATTATTTTTAAACGTTCCAACTTTATTTCTAGACGACCATGAAAGTAGTTTCGGTTCTCGTCCTGATTTGTCAAAGTTCCATGATGTTCCCGTCCCCGATTGGGTAGTACTAGGAGAAAGTGTTCTTATTAGACCTTACAATTCTTCTGGAGTCGTGGCATTTATGGGAGAAACCGAATTCTCGACTGGGACTTGGATAGGTGTCGAACTTGATGCTCCTAAAGGTAAAAACAAGTATTTATTTGAAAAATATTTAGTTTATACACTTAAATATATTATGTTACAGGTAAAAATGATGGTAGCATAAAAGGAGTGCGGTATTTCACTTGTAAACCAAAACATGGAATGTTTGTAAGAGCAGATAAACTAATCCTTGATAGACGAGGTCGAGCAATGAGGCTTGATAAGGCTGAAGCTCTTGCCAACAGTAATAAATGTTCTCTCAGCAAAGGTAAATTTACTATTTGACATTTTTACATTTTCGTTTACAAATATCGGTCCACAACATCGCTGGTACCAGTAAACTACAGTTATAATCAAAAAGTTTGCATTTGAAGAATGGAGGTGTTCGAGAAAGATGTGCACTCTTTCTAATTAATATCCTAAGTGGATGTTTGACGAATCTATTGATTCCAAGATATCTAAAAGTAAGCAGTTGTCAATTAGAATTCTCTATTTCACATCACAGGTTGTGGGTTTTTCTTAATTTTAACAAATCTGATAATGTGTGTCATTCGGAATTTACTATTGTAAGAGAGTTTACTAGTATTGTGTTTAATCATTTGTGGAGTTCTGTATCGATTTGAATTCTATGATTTGGTAGTCGTGGGTCTTCTCCAGTGACTTTGGGTCGCTGAAGAAATGCTTAACAATGACCAAAAGGCGACACAAGAAATGTAAGAAGTAATGGCAAAGAAATTGGCAATAGCCAGAGGGTAGCTGAAGAAGTGGAAGATGATGTTAACAATAACTAGAAGGTTGAAGTTAAGACGAGAACCGCCCCGTATGGTAGGTGTAGAACTCATCGTTTATGCCTTCATCTCCTCTTCTTTAACACATAATTATTCAGGGGATCTCTGTCTTATCGTCAATCTTTTAGTCATTTTTGATGATTAGGAATTCAGAGTGAATATTATCAAATGACCATGCCTGTCTGCTTGATTTCTGGAAGTTTAGACTTTCTACTGTTTTGGTGCACTTTTGGCTTCTAGCCGCGTATAGGCTGTACAGTAGTTCATCCACTATTTCTTGGTCGCCAGTTTCAAGAAAGCTCTGATATAATTCCTCGCTTTCTGCAATTTTTGAGGCAATAACAACTCCTAAAATTTTTAACATTATGGACTGACTGTACGCAAGAAATTGGTCTCCCTTTAAAAAACACAGAAAATAAATCTACCCACTGTTGCCACCATAAAACCATTTTATTATTTGAACCTTTTCTGAGGACGTATAAACAGACAGATTGCTTAAAAAAATAAATTAAAAATCTACGCTCTTATTGCTTTAAACAACCACTGTATAATGAACAAATTATTGGCCATGGGGCAACGTAGATTCGTGGAAAGTCGACGGCGCGCAGTGTTGCCATTTATAGTGTGTATATCTAATTTAAAACTTAACGTACTGTATCATAGTATGTTACATAATCACCTTGCAATATTAGTCCAACCACAACATTAACCAATATGGCACAACCACAAACACTTCCATTCTTTTCAACACATTTATTGATCGTTGTAATTGAAGTTGGTCTTATATATTAAATATTTTCAGATTCAAAAAGCCGATCTCGAGGGAATGGTTTAAACACAACAGGTACCCGAGCAATTTCGAAAGCTAAATAGAAGAGGAGAACATTTCGACCATCTTTTCATTAATCCACCCTATTTATTGCCATTTGCCGTGTTTAACGACACAAACTGTGCCGTCCATTTACATGGCGTAGTGTTATTTATCCTTGCCATTTCATATATACATAGCGTCTCACTGTACAGGGTCATCTATTCGATCTCATCTATTATATATACATTGAACAATCATCTACATCTGAGAAACATAATGATGTGTGTAATGGAGAGAAGTTTTGAAATAGATGACTGTAGTACGCGTATTTGGTTGCACTTTTAAAAACAGCGAGCACTTGGCTTGGTATTGTCATTTTATAGCAATTTCTACACACAAATGCCTTCATGTATTGAAATTTACAGCGAGACACTATATTTTTTGAAAAAAAGATATAATTTTATACCCAATCTCTCGTTGTAATTTGTAGTCATGAATAATGTTTTTTGTTCTATGTATATTCAAGCTCTGTTGCACATCAGGAGTATATTAAGTTCAGCCAAATATCTACCTCCTGTATAATCCATTACCTGAAATCAACCTTCAGGTCAGAGATTGTCTGATAACCTTATAATTTTTCCTCAATAATATAAAGGAAACTGCACAAAATAGTAGTGCTGTGATTGAAATGCAAGAAATGCTACCACAGATACTGAATAGACTTGTTCATATTGATGTGCTAATGATTATATATATACAAAGTATTTTTTATAAAACAGTTACTTTATGTCACGATATTTTGTGGTAGCAGCATTTTTGTATTAGATGTGAGCCTCTCAACAATATTACTTTATCCCTACTTATCATACACACTCCTATAATCATTAAAATTATATATAATAGTCCTTGCCTGTTGATTGGAAAGTTCCAACGCGTTCTGCTCGTTATTTTTCGGAGATAACGCAGCCAGAGCGACTGCTAACCAGGTCTTGCGCACTAAATATGTTGTCTAGTTTCCTCGATGCAACATTATATTTTATAATTTAAGCATTTCTTTCTGTGATATAATTAGTGTACACAGAGCAGTTTGGTTCTAACATATGTGAATTAATAAACATTTTTTGCGTGCTGTAAACTTGAACAGATTTAAAATAGGAATATGTATCTGTAATAGGCAACCTGTAGCTTACGAGTATTTAACTTCTGTGTGTATTTAGAAAAATGAAATTAGACTCTAAGATAAAGCGTAGATTCAATAGCGTAAACATTTGTTTCGACCATTTCTAATTTTACGAAATAAACTGTAGTGAACAACTCGGTTTAAATTCGGTGACTGTGCTACTCAAATATAATTTTATCCTTTGACGAGATCTTTAAAACAAAATTCTCTTCACATTTTATGGGTACAATACAGTTATGGCTGACAGTGAGCTGTGCGCATGGCTAATATAAACTAACGCATTGATTATTATGATTATATCTTACCTAATGGTATCCCAACATGTTTTTTAGACCTTCCTCCTCTACTTCATCTATTAACTTTCAAAAACTGAATACAAAACATTAATTATTCGTATTGGGTGATGATTTCGTTCATGTTCCATTGTAGGTTTATTGTTGTTTTATTGTATTTGTGGCTAGATATTCTGGATTTGACTTTTGCTCTGACTAAGTAATGATCTGTGTCTCCGTCTATTCCTTTCAGGCTTCTTACGTCTATAATATTGTTCCCATCACGAGCATCTAAAGTGATGTGGTCAATTTGGTTGCGCGTAATATGGTCGTTTGAGACCCAGACGAAATGCACAATGCACAGAAACAACAAAACTATAGAGAACAACTTGAACAAACCTTGAACTCTGAAAGAGAATACAATGATATAGAACAGCTATGGGAAACGACTGCCAAAATAATAACCAAGACAGCGGACAAGATCTTTGGAAGGAGTAGGCAGAAGAGGGCAAAAACATGGTATGACGAGGAATGTCGGAAACAGTTGGAAAAAAGTCATAAAGTAAGGAAGATCTGGATACAACTGCAAACAGACCAAAGTAAAAAGGAATATGACGACTGCCGAAAAGAAACAAAAAAAAATAATACGCCCAAAGAAAAGAAACTATGAAGAACAAAAATATGAAGCTATGGAGAGAGACCGGCCCAAACCAGGCTCCAGAGAATTCTATAAAGCAATCTCCTCTAAAAAAGAGGACATAGAATCAATTCCACTCATACACTGAGAGACAATCAAGGCCGTATGATAATCGACGGTAAAGAAGTAACTGAAGAATGGAAAGAGTATTTTAGGGACCTTCTAAATATCATACAGGAAGAACAGCACAAAGAAGAGATCTATATCGCAGCGGACATGCCCGTCAAAAATCCCTACTTCGAAGAAATCCAAAAGGCCTTAAATAAGCTGAAAAATCACAAAGTGCCGGGTAAGGACGAGATACCAGCAGAACTTCTGAAATATGGGGGAGACGCACTACATCGCCAAATTCACCAGCTAATAACGCACATATTGTTAGAAGAAAGGATACCAGCACGATAGAAGGAAAACATAATAGTTCCCATCCACAAAAACAGGGGCAAAACAAAATGCACGAATTATAGAGGAATTTCACTCCTAAACACGGCATATAAAACCCTCTCAAACATCATTCTTAGTAGACTAATCCCTTATGCTGAAAATGTCCTAGGCGAATATCAAGCCGGTTTTACGGCAAACAGATCAACAATAGATTAACTATTCACGCTGAGACTTTTCATAGACTTTCGACAGGCATATGATAGTGTAGAAAGAAGCCAAGTATGAAATGTCATTTCGGAGTTTTCAATACCAAAAAAACTCATTCGAATGACCAAAGTCTGTATGGAGGGTGGAATATCTAAAGTACGTGTAAATAATACACTGGCAGCTTTGAAATCAACAGTGGACTCAAACTGGGTGATGCATTATCTCCACTACTTTTTATCCTTGTATTAGAGAAAACCATGAGGTCGGCCGAAATAAAAACAGAATTGCTATCGGTTGAAGGTCTCAAGTTGTGACTCGCACATGCAGATAACATAGATCTCATTAGAGACTCCTCAACAAGGTGGAAGGAGCAACAAGTGATGTAGGGCTGAAGATTAATGAAGAGAAGACGAAATATATGTATATAAATAGAGCGGCACGAAGAGACAGAATAGGACAAAATGTGATGGTCGACACCTATAATTTCGAAAGAGTATAACGTTTTAAGTATCTGGGGGCCGTAATCACAGTTGACAACGATGGTACTGAAGAAATAAAAGACAGAATCCAATCTGCAACCCGCTGTCTATTCGCACAGGATAAGCTCATAAAATCAAAAAATCTTACAAGAAGTTCAAAGATCAAAATCTATAAATCCATCGTCAGACCTGTAATAACATACGGATGAGAAACGTGGACCATGACCAAAGCAAACGAAGAAAAGCTCAGACGCTTTGAACTAAAAATACTTAGAAACATTTTCGGACCTCACCATGACGTCACTACAAACCAGTATAAGATCAGAACCAAAATCGAATTAAAAGCACTCTACAATGACGTCGATATTGTCCAAGAAATTAAATCACAGCGACTTAGATGGGCAGGCCACGTGCACAGACTGCATAACGAGAGACTTGTAAAACTGGTATGGGAGGAGATTACCACAGGCAAAAGACCGAACTAATTGGAAGAAAGTTGTACAGTCAGCCAAGACCCATCCAGGGTTGTAGCGCTACGTGATGATGATGATGATTATTTCGTCGTTGAACGTGTTAACTTATGCTATTTCATTTTGACATCAATAATTTCTAAATTTATCCTCTTTGTGTAATATTTATTTGGATTATAATAAATTTACCAACATAATATCGACACTACTGCTTTAATCGTTGTTAAAGGTTATCTTTGCATCCAATTTCTGAACTGTTAATTGTCTATTGCCTACAGATTTGTACCCATAATTTCGTTAAAGAGATCGTGATGACACATATTATTTGCAATATGTTTCTTTTTCTTGGTATACGAAAATATGGTCCGGCGCATATTGAACCCAGCACATGCGAAGATCATGCATGGGTCGTTTTGTGAGCACGGGTTGGGGATAGGTGCCGCGAATTGAACCCAACGCATGCGCACCCGTCAGTGCATGTGGGAAGGTTTGCAAAGAGCACAGTTTTAGCGGTACATGGGCATAAAGGTTTCAACATGCACTAATCAAGTAAAAAAGTAATTTTAGACTTGCTTATTTTGTTTAGTACATAGAGTTATCACCAAATTTATCAAAAGCAGTTGATAGATACCTGTAACAACGAATGTCACCGGAAAATCCTTAGTTCTCTGGTCTATTAGTGATAATAATTTAGAAAGGTCTGAACTTGTGAGAAATAATCGTGAATTATATGATACTAGTCATCCTACTTTACTACATTAGAACTAAATCGAAGGATAGTTTGTGAGAGAAAATTGGCAAAAAATTTAATCCGCATGGTGATTTCTTTGTTTTGCTTTTGTCAAAAGGTATTACAAACATGATTTTATCTTGTTAGGATTCAGAATCTAATAACAACAAATAGTCCTCCATTTACGAGCCCCTTCCCATATCAGTTGACCTAACGTTAGATTGATAAATTTAACTGACAATATTATTGTTTTGATGTCATTTTTCGATAGATACCTCTGGATTTAACGTAATTATGAAAAAATCAACGTATATTGACATAAATGAATGCATAGGAAGGGTTCAGTGATTTTTTTTATTGTTGAAAATAAATAAAAAAACCATAAGGGTAATGTTTTTAATAAATTATAATAACATCTAGAGTATAATTTGTTTATGGTAAGCTACTAACTATTGGCTACTGCAAATTCCATAAGTGGGCCAACTGATATGGGAAGGGGGTAAGTAATCTTACCAACTGGGCAATGAGTTGGACATGGATTGGGTTCAATATGCGTTGGGCTCAAAAATCTGGGGAAACAGATCGCTCACGACCTCGGCGTGTACTGGGTTCAATATGCGCCAGGCCTAAATGACTGATTTTACAGAGTATTATAGTACTTAATTTTTGACTTTCCTACTTTATACAAACAGTGACATATTCGCTGTTTAGACCAAAGCTTGTTTTACTGATTAACATTCCATAATCGACTAGCAGGCATTTTAAACCGTGTCACTTCAGTTTAATTTACACAAAAATTTTAACATTCCAAAAGAATTATCTAATTGTAGAATTGCAATATAATCTAGTCTATGGTTTATTTATTGCTCAGTGATTGTGAGGTTTAGTCGTCCATTGACTGTGGCCGAAGTAATAAGAATGATAAAGACTGTCAATTTAACAATCACGAAAAGGTGGCAAGGTTATACTAAAACTTAAATTTAATAAATGCATAGCCTCATAAAAATTTAGGTAGAGTTTTAAAAATAATACAACGGGAACTCATGTTGGAGACACTTTAAAGAAGTAGTCGAGAAATAACTGCATTCTAGTTAGTTTATGACTAACAGAAATGAAAAATTGTGGTAGATGATGACCAAACAAAGATACAGCAATGGCATGATCCTTAAACTTTTTCTCAGACAAAATACTCAAAAGAGAAACAAAGATATCTATAGAAGTGTTGACGAAATCGTTGCATTCTACAAGACGATATCGATTGTCCAATGGTAACAAGGTAGCGAGGTAGCTCTGAGTAAACTCAGAATTTAGAATTTTATTTCAGTTCCAATAACTTTAACTTAGTCATTAGACACTTTTGTTGAAATATAGATCTTATTTTGGATTTGGCACTTGATTGAGAACTTCGCAAATTTGTATATAGAATTATGTATTCGGAAATAAAAGCTCCATTTGCTCACTTAATAGATTATTAGCTATTTAGTTATAATTTTTTAATCTCTCATCAAATTTTGTTTGAAAATAATTACATCATTTTGATGTACCAACTTTGAAAAATGTATGTATAGTATAAATAATAGACAGGCAATATTAGTTCTGGATCAAGCCTTGTGGTAATCCCATAAGAAAACGTCAGCATTCAGTTAGTGTCGATGTCAGATTTGACGCGAAGAACTGCAGACTTGGCACATACATGAAGCTGAATATAGCTCAAGACTAAAAAATATTGATTAACGAAGAATGTGACCTCCTCTTTACAGCGATGGTTCATACGTAGTGATCCGATGAATTTCTGCCGAGTTTTCTATTTTGGATCTTAGCGTTATCTTATAGGATTTAAGATTGAGCTTGGTCCAGAATTAACCTTGTTTGTGTATCTATTATGAACTAATAAAAATAATTAACTACAATAGATTTATTTGGTTCTAAACTAATGATCACATAGTTAAATTGAACTGATTTGTTATATAATCCTTTAACTTCTAGTAAATGGGGCAAATAAAAAACTTCTAATATTTTGGCATCCGATTTGATAGAGGTTTTAACTTTTTAGCTGATTCAAATATTTAACAGTCAAATCTGCTATTGTATTTGACGAACTGAAACCCCAATCAGTCTCTTGGGGCTTTTTTACTAAATAATTTAGTTATCTTGCTTGGGCTGTTCTTGGTATTATTTCTAGCTGTATCTATCTGCACTGAATATATTTATAAAAAAAAAGAACCACAAACAAAAGTAAATGCCTACAAACAATTGTTGTATCATAGGTAAATCTTAGTAAATCAGAAAAAAAACATAAAAGAAGGAAAATGTAAGATTTGCGAAAGAAACTTGTTAAAGAAAACCACGGAAAGACCACGATGTAAAATAAATAAATCACTTGATATCATTATGGAGTAAAGAAAATACTGCAGTTATATGAATATGAAATCAATGTTGATTTCAGCTCTTTAATACATAAATAAGAGCGGGGAGTACCAATAGAACTAGGGTTCTTAAAATTTATCATAAGTTAAATTGTTTATAAAGCTTTTACTTTCTCTACATAACTTGTAAATGTCATTAAAAACTTATATATCACAGATAATTGAACAATATTCCTATTGTTTATCTAACCATGGTAGTTTTTGTCCATTTTTAGCCATTTTTGTAGTTAGGAAAAGAAGTAGGTAATGCCATCTTTGATTTGATTGAGAAATAAATATCTTAACACATCAAACCCTGCTCAAGTTTGAGTTTTATATAATTTATCATTCTCATAACCTCCGTCAGTGATCCCAGTCAACAAAATAAAATACTAGACCTGTTCCTGTCCAATTTAAATCATTCTGTCCAATTTGTTATATATAATATAGTGTATTATATTAATCTGACAACATTCATTTTAACAAGAAATGATTTGTACAAAACTTAAATCAGCGCATGTCAACTACAATCGATATATTCACCAATGCTCGAAGGATACAAATCAATTCCGCCAGTTTTCAATTGTACAACCAAGTTTCAGAAATCATATACTACAAAACTAATTGGTTTTGTTGTATCATCAATGTCTGTTTTTAGTTGAAATCCAAGTTTCCCATCTATATGTAATGTATTTGACTGTAGGACGACTGCAATCGGGCGAATGTGTAAATTTGTGAGCAATAATCATTGGAAAATCCAAATATGTGAGTACGTGGTAATTCGTCTTATGTCAAAAGTTGAAATTTAGTTGTACAATTGCAAAACATCCATGTTTAAGACTTAAAACAAGTTTGGAACAAGATATTTTTTAACAAACGAATGCAGAGTGGAAGTGAAGCAGTAATCTGCAGATCAAACTTACTTAACTTCTCCTCTTGATATCTTATTAGTGTTTCCTATGGAAATAAATGGATTCTCCTGTTCTGGGAATTTCCTATAGGGACTTCTTCTTCTTCATGTACCATGTCCTTTCAGAGCGTTGGTTACCATTATAGCTATCTTAATTTTATTTACTGCCACCCTAAATAGTATGCTTGTATCAACAAAATACGAATTTCGCAAGTTCTTCAACCATAAGCTTCTTCTTCGTCCTGGACTGCATTTGCCTGCTATTTTGATTTCCAGGTATAGAGTCTTCTCGGTGGTAGTTATGAGTATTCGATATAATGAAATGGTGTTCTTGACAGAACTGGACAAGTCGATCTCCTCGTTCGTTTCTGTTTTCCAAGTCATAATCCCCCACAATCTTCAAACAGCGTCCTTTGCCGACTTTAGCATTAAAATCTTCGAGGACTATGGTATTTTCTGCTGCTTTGACAAAATCTAGAGCATCAGTAAGATCTTTGTAAAATGCTTCTAATTTATCTTCATTACTGGATGATATTGGAGCATAGACCTGAATTACATTGAATCACATACACCTGATCGCGGGCACCGCATTTCACTTATTCCGAGGATTTTGATTTGCATTCTTTTCATTTCTTTTATGGCATTATATATTTTACCTGACTTAAACATGCTTCTGACGTTACATGTGGCTATTTTGCAAAGATTTCGCATATATTTAAAACTAGGAGTGCCAAAAGGCCTTTAATGCAGTAGTTCTCCTTTGCTTCCTGCATCTTTATGCCTTTGACTAATTTCTAGTTTTATAGTTCTTCCGCCTTCGCAATCAATTTCTCAATTCCAAGTCAAAAGAGTGCCCTAACACTTACCAACTCGTCCGCCCGAAGCCGTTGGTCAGTAAGCTCTATCAGAACCTTATTCCGTTAAGAAATAAATAGTGTTCACACAGTTTTTTATTTTTTTAATACAATAATCTTTTATTTAGGATAACCAATGCACTTTTCACAGTAGTTTAGATGCAGAAACAAAATATACAAAACAAGAGCGCAAAACTTGTTTTGCGAAGTAATTTAAAAAATTAAAGAGATCATACCCACCAAACGCTTAAGTCACTTAATTTGACACGATCTCTAACATTTTAGTGGCATTATCAGTCTAGTTGTTAAAAAAATCTTGGTACAACACTTTTGATAAGTCTTTATTAACTAGGATACATTTTGACTGTAAAATATTTCACTTTTTGTAATGTATGTCCCAATAAATACACCACTAAGAATTTATATCATTATATTTAAGTTTTATCTCTTATCGACTTAAATATCATCTGAGCTCTGCAAACAAAGGCTTTAACTATCTTTACATTCTGTGTAATTAAATAGTGGATTCAAAAATATACAGAATAGGCCAAAAAGTAGCCGCTAATATATTTATATGTAATTATAATGTTGTGAAATATAAAATACAAATATAATCTTTTGAAAATAGGACAGGATGATCAACTCATACTCTGAGATCGGTATCTCCGTTTTAATGACATATAAAAACAGTTTTATACGAAAATTATGGACACAATTGATCAATATTTTCTCTATTCATAACTCTTTTTGTATATCTCTTGACAAAGGAGATATGAGACCCGGAAATATGATTTGATCACCCTGTAAATATTATTTCTTTGTCAGTTACTTAGAGGTAGTTTTTTGGTCGTTCTGTAATACACTGTACATTAGCATGTAAATACAAACCATCATTAAATAATTTTGGTCATTCTAAAAACTTGCTTTTTGTTTTCACTCAATATGGGTTTGTTGTTTTTTATGTAATTTAGATAAAAAAATAGTTAAAAATATTTTATATATATGTACATTTTTGTTGTTTACCTTAAATTATTTTAACCTCATATTTTGATAGTTTTTAAAGTTTATTTGTAGCTGTGGTCCTACAAGCAATTAAATAAAATATTGATTCAAGTTGTTTTCTTTAATACTTCCCTTTTTACTACCAAAAAACGTCATATATAGCGTTGGGACGCGAAGAATACGAAGAATATATGAACATAAAATATATATTATTTCCTTTAAAGCTCATTGCATCAGTGACAATTCTACGTTGGCACAGAACAACCAACCGCTTAGAAATTATCTAACAATAATTTTTAAGAACACGATAACACCATAATAACACAATAACTTAACAAGAAACAAATGGCGTAGCGATAATAATAAAAAAGGGAAATAGCTAAAACAGTAATAAGATTTACGCCCATATCAGACAGAGTTGTGCTATTGAAAATTAACTCGAATCCCTCTAATATAAACATCATTCAGGTCTACACTCCGACATCAGAATCCACTGAAGAATAAATAAATAATTTCTAGAAGACTCTCTAAAACTGACCAAAAAACATGAACTTACTATTATCATGGGCTATTTCAATGCCCTAATAGATCAACTATTCCCGCTGAGACAACTTCTAGAAAAGGGATGGGAGTATAACAGACCCATACACAATATTTTCATAGACTTTCGACAGGCATATGATAGCGTAGAAAGAAGCCAAGTATGGAATGCCATGGCGGAGTTCTCAATACTATTGCTATAGGATGGTTGGAGACTCCATCCTATCCACGAAAGACATTTTCAACGAGGTGGAAGGAGCAAAAAGTGTACTAGGGCTGAAGATTAATATATGAAATTATTAACAAGAGGGTAAGAGAGACCCTGGACGTAGACGTATATCCTGGCTGGCCAATCGTAGGAAATGCACTGGTCTAACGTCAACTGATCTATTTCGAGCTGCTGTGAATAGAATAAGATAAGTCAATGTGGTCGCCAATATATCTAGAAGATAGACACATTTAGAAGAAGAAACAGTCACACGGAATAAAACAATTCACATCGACGCGGTTCTGATGCAAAGAGATTGTAATTGGTTTAAACACCGATTTTTTCTCCAGCTTATTAGAACTATGGTGCAACATATTGATTCCCATCTATTGGTTTGGATATAGGGTACCTGCTTTTTAGGAATAAAACACAATAACCAAACAATATATTTTTCTTGTAATATAAATTTATTTCATAAAAAATATTAGTACATTTCCTAAAACTATTAACATATGCACCTACAAGCAGTCTTCTTTTTGGAATACTCAAAATACATGTACTCCTGAAAAAGAAATATTATTTTATGAGTAAAAACTAGACAAAAAAAGTAACATAAGATGATTGCAGAAAATGATTGCGACAATATGTAATCAATCAAGTGGAAAGTATAGTAGTTGAAAAGTCGTTGGCGTACCTGTAAAGAGTACAACAAACGACTGACTTCGCCAAGTAGGAACTGGCATGCCTGTGAGACTGGCACCAGCTACAGGATACGTGTAAACGTACCTTTATTTCATGATTAAGTTCATAAATAAAGCTAATATAAGTTAGATCTTTGAAAGTTGTTGTATTCAGTCTAGTTTAATTTTTAAATTCTTGCCGCCTTATTTTTTTTTCAGCCGAAAAATAGCGCAATCTAGTCGGCTTCAATTACTATGATCATAGGGAGTTCGACCTCTAGATCATTTAATAGAACTCTGTGATTGAAAATCATTTTATAAACTTTTTCTGACTATGGCATGTATGAAAATACAGACTAAACTACTTACCAACAAAAACGCACATCCCAATAAAAGTGCTTTGTGCTTTGTTTCAGTAATATTGCCCATCATTTTTAATAGAATGTTGTAAGAGACTTGTACCTGATCCCATTGATAAATGATACTTCCTACCTGAGTTGAGCGATCAGGGGTGTAAATCTAAAAAAATATTAAACAATCAGTTTTTAGTACCCTTTTTGTAGGGTTTTTCACATTGTATTTGTATTATTTTAATGTCATTGTCAAATTAGTGTGATATATGACACTTTGTAAGTCACTATTGAAACATACACATTTGTCTATTTTATCTTCAATAAATATTTAATTCACCAAAAGTTATGGGAGTCCAGACACCAAAGTTTTGTTGACAAAATAGATGTCTAGAGAAAAAATATGAAAAATTTCTTATTAAGAAACTACTTCCAAAAAGAAAAATCGAGAAAATTGTACGTAACATTAACCAACTAAATGGAGAATCGGAATGACCAATGTGGAAAAGTAACATGCAAGACATGGACTTCCATGAAGGCTGCTTAGATGTGATAGATCACAAGTTAGTGAAACCTGAACCTATTCCAGAACTAGTAACTGAAGCTGAAAAGAAAAACTGTAAAGGCCAAAACTGATTTTTATATAAAAGCAATTAGTTACGCAAAAAGTTTGATAACTAGTGCTATCAATGACAACGTTTATCAGAAAAGATTAGAAAATATCAGCTATTTAAAGTTTGCTCAGATTTTGATGTGTCAACGCAAAGTTAAAACAAATTTTCAATGAGATAATTAGCGGACTTGAACTGAAGCAACTAAGTAAGATACCAGATGTAATGATTATAATAATATGCAAAATTATACATATTTTATCTAGTCAGTATGAAAGCTTTAGGTCTAGTTGGAAGCTATGAACTAAAGATAAATACAAAACTCTTGATGAACTAGTTTCTCAACTATGTACATTTGAAATAAATTTTACCAAGAATGATTGTCAGTAAGAAAATAGCTTAAAACCTTTATTTTGGATGTAAAGAATTTGAAATTCATCGTTCAAAGAATGATTATGATCTAGAAGGGAGAAGTAGAAACTTAAGCCAAAAAACAAAAATAACTATATACAAAACCCTTATACAGCCAGTGTTGACATATGGATCGGAGACATGGACCATCTCCAAGGTAGACGAAGACCTTTTGCTTATATTTGAACGAAGGATCCTGAGAGGAATATTTGGTGGCATCTGTGAAAATGGTGTTTGGAGGAGGAGATACAACTACGAGGTAGACCACAGATATAAACAAATATTTGGTGGTAAAGACGTAGTATCTCTTATAAGAATAGGAAGATTAAGATGGGCAGGACATCTAGCAAGATCACAGCAGAACAACCCTCCTAGAAGAATCCTTATGTCACAACCCGTGGGAAGCAGAAAAAGGGGTAAGCCAAAACTCAGATGGAAGGATGGTGTAGATGAGGATGGTAGAAAGATAGGCGCAGCAAACTAGCAACGGTTGGCAATGGATAGGACTGCCTGGCGTAATAGACTTGGGAAGGTCGAGGCTCTTTCATAGGGCTGTAGCACCATTGATGATGATGATGATCTAGAAGGTGAAGTGCATAAGTAGAATCTGTTTGTCTATTATATAAAGCCCTTTTATGCTCTGTTCTACGTTTGTTAAAAGTTCTACTAGTTTGACCAATGTAAGTTTTTGGGCAGTCGCCACATTTAATTTTGTATACACCACTGTGTAAGTGCTTTTTTTTGACCTGAGCCAAAGGAAAATAATTGGCGACTATCATTTATATCCAAATCAAATATAGTAGATTTTATTTGCTATTGCAATCTTTCAACATTCTGAAACAATCTTTATTCTAACAGATTATTTTCAAATTGAAACAAATAGACAAAAATGACTTACCTGAAAATTTTGTGTTTTTCCGAACATACACGCAAATGAACTTGGACCTTCTATCACTGATATTATTTCATTTTTCTTATTATATACATTAAAACTAGCTTTCATAGTCAAAGACATATTTTGACTTATCGTACCTATTAATTCTCCGGGTGGAATCCAAACTTCCATTTTCTAAAAATGTAAAAATATGGGTGTCAAAATTATAATTATACGAGGTATCTGTAATATACACAAGAACACTGTACTTTTATTATTTATTTCAAAACTTTACCTGAAGATAACAACAAAATGTACAGTTTCCACATGCCAATCGTCGTTCAAGTATGAGAGCTTCCTGCTGAGTTTTGTCATATAATCTCATGCTAAATGCCCTGCCAGATCCAAAACACGTCCTATGACAATTTGCTGAACTTTCTGTCGCGTAATATATTGTATCACCTCTGGGTACTTTTACTGTATACCTATTTTCTGAAGAAACATTGGAAATTACTAAAATACAAAAAACAAATAAGTATTACTTATATTTTAGTAAATATAAATTTAAAAACTTTTATTAGGCGAGGATTTGAACAAATTTTTAAAACCAATTTAAACTATTCTATACTGTGTTTCAAACTTTAGAATCAGTGTGGTTGTGTATTGCAAGCGGGTTTGCCATATTTTGCCCATTTTGTGAATTATCATAAATAAATCCTCCTTTAACCATACAAAAACGGGGTTATCCCAATGATAGTTAGTAAGATTAATGAGTATCTGTTTTCTGCAGCACTGCAATGTAGCCCACATTTCCGTGGAACAATTACGAGCAATTTTTAAAGTTACTACAACTCAGTTTTTAAAACTAATCTGATCATTATGCAAAACGTTATTAAATATGTTTTCTATTCCTAATAAGTAAGTATGAACCTATTAAAATCCCATTATTCATTATGGCAGTCATTAAAAAGAAATTGTTTAATATCCATGTTTTATTTAGAAATGGAATTACTAAAATTCCACTTCTTCCGATATATACTAAAAATTTATTTTTGTGATGGAATTGTTGAGAATCTCTGATTGTATGTTCATACGGTTGCTGCCGTGAAGAGTGGCATAGTTGTCAAGAAAATTCTAACTTGCATAGCTTGCATGGCCTTTCCTTCGTACACCACATCACATGTCTGAAATACGCAATAGAAACGTTTTGACAGACAGCAGAAGAGTTGCGTGATCGTGATGTAACATTAGTAACAATAAACTTTCGAAAAATTACGCGCCAAATGTTCTTAAGTAATTTAGTTTAAGTATCGGGTAGCGGGTAGCGGGTAGGTACTTTTCACAATCCCGGTGGAAACAGACCTATTTCAGGGATTAGCGACCCTGCCCACGCTAGCTCATGATATTCCACCATCTCACACCGTGGAATCTCATGTCCCAGAGCCTTTATCCTACACCCTTAATATTTATCCCTCCTAGTCCTCAACCCTGGTGAAGGGCAGCAGCGATCACCAGTACCAACGCAAGGCGCAAAAGAAATTATCTTGGACCGGCTTGTTATTGGAATTCCACAGGCATGACTAGGACAGTTTGAATGGCTGTGGTACTGCGGTGTTGAAAGTAACGGGATACTACAACACTACCTTTTCCCCAGGATAACTCATCTCATTATGGCAGAACAACAAAACTCAGATGGCCCTCAGTCCCGGGCAGACCTTAGATGGTCAGAGGGTGCGAAGAATCTCCCGGTGCCAAATAGATGATATCCAACGAATTTCAACATGGAATGTTAATAGTCTTTACGAACCAGGAAAACTACACAACCTTATAAAGGAAATGAATCGGCTGAAAATAAATATAATGGGAGTCAGTGAAGTCCGATGGTCTGGATCTGGACAGTTTACGAAAGATAATATTACTATGTATTACTCGTGTAGTGACCCAACAGATAGACATCACCGACATGGAGTGGCTATTGCTCTTGACAGGAAGACCAGTAAATCGGTGACAGATTTTGTTCCAGTTTCCGAACGAGTCATGTTGATCAAAATGACTGGCAAACCAGTAAACATAAATGTGACACAAGCATATGCACCAACAGCAGATAAGTCAGAAGAAGAAATAACTAAGTTCTATAAAGATCTGGAAAAAGCAATAAGACTAACAAAGAAAGAGGACATAAACATAATAATGGGCGACTTTAACGCCAAGGTGGGTAAAGGAAGATATGAAGACATAATTGGAGAGTACGGCCTTGGAGTTAGAAATGAAAGAGGCGACCTGCTGTGTGAATTCTGCCAGGAGAACGGTTTTGTCGTCATGAACACATGGTTTCAGCTCCCACCTCGTAAGTTATATACTTGGAGATCACCAGGAGACCGTCCAAATCGAATAATTAGAAACCAAATTGACTACATTTTAATAAACAGAAGATTTCGTAACGCTATCAAAAGAATCGCAGCATATCCAGGTGCTGATATTGCATCCGATCATAATCCGATAATAGCAGATGTGAGGTTAAAACTAGCAAAAATTAAGAGAACAAATACAAATACCAGCACACCTATAAATACAAGAGAACTGATGAGAGACGAAAATCTCAAGAAGAGTTATGCGAATCAAATTAATGAAAGAATGCGAGTAATAGAACAAAATGATGATATCGAAGAGATGGTTAATGATATTAAAGGAACGATACTGGCAGTAAACAAGGAAGTTAAAACACAGATCAGAAAGAGAAAGCATAACGAATGGATGACGGACGAAATTATGAATCTAATGGAAAAGCGAAGGCAACATAAACAACAACGTAATCAAGACAAATACAAACAGATACACAAAGAAATCCGTCAGAAAATTAAGAAAGCAAAAGAACGCTGGATGGTGGAAAGGTGCAACGAAATAGAACAATTGCAGGAAAAAGGAGATAGTTTTGGACTACATAAGAAGATCAAAGAAATATCGAATATACACAAAAGCCACCACAGAACAAGAATACGCAACGACAGAAACGAATACATAGAGTCAGAAGAGGAGATAGCAATGGCGTGGAAAGAATACGCAGAAAGCCTTTTTAATGACGAAAGTCCAACACAACCAACGCGCAAACTTCCTTCCGAAAACTTATCAGGGCCATCAATAATGCGAAGTGAAATAGAATATGCAGTTAGAACCACAAAGATGCATAAAGCAACAGGTCCAGATGAAATTAATATAGAAGCAATAAAACTACTAGACGAGGAGAATATCGAAATCTTGGTAAGGATGTTCAATAGAATTTATGATACTGGTTACATTCCGCGAGAATGGCTGCAGTCATCCTTTGTGATGATCCCAAAAACAGCTAATGCCACAAAATGCAATGAACACCGCTTAATCAGTTTAATGAGTCACTTGTTGAAACTCTTCCTTAGGATATTACACTCAAGAATGTACAAGATACTAGAAGAAATTAGCGGGTCAACACAATTCGGTTTTAAGGGAGGACTAGGAACAAGAGAGGCAATTTTATGTTTGAACACCTTAATACAAAACCGCTTAGATCAACGAAAAGATGTCTACCTCACCTTCATCGACTACGAGAAGGCATTAGACAATGTTAAACATGATATCATGATGAAACTACTACATAGGGCCAACATTGACCAGAAGGAGATCAGAATTATTCAGAATCTATACTGGAACCAAATGGCAAAGCTGAGGATTGATCGAGACCAATATACGGATTAATTTGAAATCCGGAAAGGTGTCCGCCAAGTCTGCATACTCTCTCCGATGCTTTTTAATTTATATGTTGAAAATATATTTGCGGAAGCATTAGAAGATACGGAATTAGGCATTAAGGTGAACGGCATACCAATTAGCAACCTACGCTATGCGGACGACACAGTGATTATAACTGATAATTTGGAAGATCAGCAGTTATTACTTGATAGGGTGAATAGCATAGGTAAAAAATATGGCCTCAAAATCAACATTTTGAAAACGAAATATATGGTCATTAGCAGAAACCCTCCAGAAAACCCGATAATATGCATAGGTGACAATCGTATAAATCGCGTGAATACTTTTAAATACCTTGGCACCACAATCAATGACCAATCGGATCCACAACACGAGATAAAAACCCGAATACAAATGGCAAGACAAGCTTTTGTGAAATTCAGACCGCTCCTATGTAATCAACACCTAAACTTCGAAATACGCTACAGAATGGTCAAGTGCTTCATATGGTCCATCTTGCTTTATGATATGGAAACGTGGACTTTGAAAAAAACATCTATCAACAAACTTGAAGCATTTGAAATGTGGTCATTGAGAAGAATGATGCGCATACCTTGGGTGGATAGAGTTCGAAACGATGACGTCCTTAATAGAGCCGGCGTGGAAAGAGAACTCTTTGAATTAATTAAAAAACGCAAGATTGGTTACCTTGGGCACATATTGAGAGGAGCAAAATATGAAATACCACAGTTAATCCTACAAGGGAAGATCGAAGGTAGGAGAGGAGCCGGCCGCAAACAATTATCCTGGTTAAGGAATATTAAAGAATGGACAGGAATACACAATACAGGTGAGCTGTGTCACGCCGCCAAGAACAGAATTCTAGTAATGAGATAGTCGCCTACGCACTTTGGTGTATGGCATGTTAAGAAGAAGTTTAAGTATACTTACAATCTACAAGTTCAATAGTTTGTTGTATGATCAACTGGTTGACATCAAGAAGAAAACCTAGACCACTTGACGGAGCAATAGTTCTTCTGTAGTCTTCGTCAATAATGGAAACTGGTATGGGTCTTCGAAAACCAGGATAATCTGAAGAACAAACAATTTTTAGTGTTAATTTGTAAAATAGTCTTATTTTGTTGTTGTTGTACTCAATTATACTTAGTATACAATATTTGTTCAGAAAGAAACACCCAATTGCGAGTCTTTTTAAAAACTATTTTTGATATTTAGAGTCATTTTGACTAATTAAACATTTTTTAGTTCAGTTAGAATTTTAATAGTTTTATTTTTAATTTAGTTTCAAATAAAAATAAACAGAAATTTTTAATAACTGCAGACTTACTTTCTATGACCCAGCAAATCTAAGTAATTTCTAACTTGTTAAACTGTTTGTTCAGGCTGTTAGGCTGTTGTCTTCTGAGATTAGTTCTCGACGTTTCACCAACACTAGGGGTTGGAGATGTTACTGCTTCGCTTGTAAGCTGAAACACTTTGCTTTTTTCGTGATTTGCGGGAAGGGTGTTTGTGGATTTTAATATTGGTATCCATGTTTTGTTAATTTTTAGTCCTTCTTCTATCCGATTAAAATTATTTGGATGCTTATATATTTCCACCGCTTCCCGATATAACCGTGGGTAGTACTGTGATGTTTTATCCAGCATCTGCGTTTCTTCAAACAGTATCCGATGTTCTCCGCTTCCCAATGAGTGTTCGGCAACGGCAGATTTGTCGATATGTCCTGAACGACAATGGCTTTTATGTTCGTTTATCCTTGTGTTTGTGTATCTTTTCGTTGTTCCCACATATACCATTCCGCATGTGCATGGTATTTGGTATACTCCGGTCGTTTTTCCTTCACCGATCTTAAACAGTCCTTGATTTTCTTTGTTGGTTTGAAAATGGTCTTTACATTGGCTTTTTTAAGTATTCGCCCAATTCTGTCTGTTACCCCCGATATATAGGGCAAGAACGCTTTGCATATACATGCTGTTTCTTCGTCCTTTCTTCTAGAAACGTTGTTAATCGCTTTATGTATTTCTCTTCTGGTATAACCATTAGAGGCGTGTCCTTTTTTAATATGAAGAAGTTCACTTTGAAGATGCTGTGGTTCACAAATTCTCTTCGCCCTCTCCGCCAGAGTTTTGATGATACCTTGTTTTTGGCCTGGATGATGATTTAAGTTCCTGTTTAGGTATCTGTCCATGTGTGTAGGTTTTCGATACACTTTATGTCCTAGGTAACCTTCCTTTCGATTTACTAATACATCTAGGAACGCTAGTTGTTGATCTTTCTCTGTTTCCATCGTAAATTAAATATTTGGATGTAGTGAGTTTATATAAGATAGGAAGTTGTTAGGTTTTTCTACTCCGTGACCCCAAATCACAAAAGTGTCATCGACGTATCTAAACCATACCCTTGGCTTGTATGCTGACTCCATTATCTCCTTCGCTAGATGCTGCATGCTCAACCAAAAGGTTGGCTACAACCGAACTTAGTGGACTTCACATTGCTACTCCATCTACCTGTTCATAAATCTGGTCTTCCCGTGAAAAAAGGTGGTAGTGAGGCAAATACATTATAGTTCCACCATATCCTTTGAAACTGGTACCTCAGTTAAATTTAGAACATCTTCGAGGAGAACTCCAGTTGCAGTAACTTCCAAGAGCAGTAACATGTCCAGAAGATGCCAACCCTTAGTGTTGGCGAAACGTCGAGAACTAATCTCAGAAGACAACGACCTAACAGTCCGAACAAACTGTTTAACAAGTTAGAAGATGGCCTGAAAGCCTAACGCATTTTTTAAATAATTTCTGTTTGATTTTCTTTTTATTGCACGAAGAACAAGACAAGCCTTTAACAACGATTACTTTATCATCAGAAATAAATATAATATAAACACTTTAAATTTATCAAACAGTATTTTTTATTAAACAAATCTGATAGATGATAAAGGTAGCACAAATACTTTTAAAAAATCGCCATATTGGTAAACATATTTTATCTACAGACAGCGACTAATCTAAAGATTAGAATATTACTCACCTTCATTGTTTGTTGGTTGTTGAGTTATGGCACTCTCCTGTTCGTTTCGGGAATAAACTGAAAAAAAGTATAAGTTAAGAAACCGACTTTCATGAGATCTCTCGCCATTTTGCAGAATCACCAATAGATAAAAAAAACTCTAAGATAAAACAGTAGAAAATAAAAATACACTACTAAAAAGATCACAAAATAATGACACTCAAAAGATTTATTATAACAGAAATGCATCCATAGACCTAAGAGCAGCATTTGACACAATAGAAAGACAAATTATAGGGAAATGCTTGAGAAAGATAAATGTACCAAATACATTGATAAAAATTATTGAAAGTAGGTACTAGGAACAAAGAGGTAAAAGGAAGACTCCAAAAGCATGGGAAAGATCCGAAGAATTTAATTGGAAGAGACATATTAAAGAATGAGGTAGTATCAACCCTTTATTATTCATAACAAAAATGAACGAATTGATACCATAGATTAGATTACAACCATTAAAAGTAGAGTTCTAAATGTACGCGGGCGACATAGTACTAATAGCCGATTCCGAGAATAAAATGCAGAAACTAATGGATATATGGGTAGAACAAATACAAGAATTAAAAATGGAAATTAACGAGGGCAAAAGTAAGATAATTATAATCATGGTTAGAGAAGGTAAGAACGATAATAAAATAAAGATAAAGTGTAAAAACTTAGAATTGGAAATAGTTACAACTGACGAATACCTGGTAAGTATAATTACTAATGATGGAAAATTACTGTGAAATAACAAATAGAGCAAATAAATCGAACAAGCTATACTATGCGTAAACCCCAATACTAGGAACAAGAGAACTTACACGAGACTAAGCTTGGATAATTCTGGAAAAACATATGAGCAGGATAAATGCAATGGAGATGAGACATCTAAGAAGGATAGTTGAAAAGACGAAATGGGATAGAGTAATCAACGAGACTATTAAAAGAATGGCCAACATGAACCAATAATGCATAAAATAGCAAAGGGATAAATGAACTATTAGGGAAATCTGATGGGGATGCAACCTAGCAGAATTACAATAAAAGTCCATGAAGCAAAGTACATCGTAAAAATAAAAAGAGGCAGATCAAGGAAAAAATCGATACAGCAAGTAGTAGAGGCAAGAAAAGTTAAACAAAAATCATGAGAGGAATTGAAAATAATGGCAGGAAATAGAACAGAATGGAATAGATAGGTGAATGGAAATTAAAATAGAGTATTTTTATTTCTTTGTTTCCCATTCTGTATCCTCTTTCTTTGTTAAAGCTGTTGATGGTTTTATCCATGATCAAATTAAAGAGAATGAGGCTCAACGAATCCCCTTGTCTTATTCTGCTGCCTATTTCTATAGGTTCTGTAAGTTGTCCTTCTATTCTGACTTCCATTGTGTTGTTTTGGTAGATGTTTTCGATGGTTTTTGTAATATTTAGGGGAACTTCTCTATTATACAGAAGACGGATTACATCTTTGAGTCTTACTTTGTTAAACGTTGTCTTTAGGTCAATCAGACACAGAAATGCTGGTGTATTATACTCTAGTGATTTCTCAGTAATTTGTTTTATAACGAATATTGCACCTGTACACGATATTTTACTACGAAATCCCTGATGTTTATCTTCTAAACTTATATCCTAATTTACAAGATGTTTAGCTTCTAAACTTATCTTCTGATTTACCAAGAGCCATTTAAAGGGATTGGTACAAATGGTACAAATTTAAATCGAGAAAGTGAAGTATCTTGGTTCGGTCATGATTGATAATTGCTTGAGGTAAGCATGACCGAGTTAAAGCTCAGGAAGGCTTAATCTTTTTATGTACAATCCATTACTGTAGAATATAGCAAATATAGATCTAAAGTCCCTCAATCACGTATCAGGTAGCGGGTAGATTCTCCTCTGCAATCCCGGTAGAGATTATATCTACTTCAGGTATATATTCACAATTAAAAACAAAGGCAAAAGAGACCGGACTAGAAATAAATATTCAAAAGACAAAAAAGTTAACACAGACAAGAGCTAGGGGAAACAGGCGCACAGTTGAATTAGAGAACGATATTAAAACGGTAGAAAGTTTCACGTATTTAGGAGTTGCATTAAACACGGATGGAACAAAAGAACCAGAAATCCAAAGAAGAATAGTAAAGGGAAAAAAAGCTTATTTTTTACTCGATCATGTGTTCCGATCCAAAAACACACACCGCAGATCGAAAATCAGGGTCTACAAAACTATTATCAGGCCAATAGTATCTTATGCATGTGAGACATGTGTGATGGCAGAAGAGACAAAAAGAAAACTGGAAGTCTTCGAAAGAAAAGTCCTAAGAAAGATATTTGGACTATTAACGAGAACGGAATATGGAGATCTAGGCACAACCATGAACTCTACCAACTGTTCAAAGAGACACCGATCTCAGAAATCTTTAAACTTCAGAAACTTCGCTGGGCTGATCATGTAGTAGGAATGGGGGCAGAAAGATTGCCGAAAAGACCCTAGATAGTAATATTTAGGGCGCAAGACCAAAAGGAAGGCCACGGAAAATATGGGAGGATGAAGTGGCAGCAGACGCGCAAAAAATTTGGAGGCATAGTTTGGAGGAGGCCAAGGCCCGAATTGGGCTGTAGCGCCATTGGAGAGAGAGAGAGTAAAAGGGGGATAAGGGGAGATCAGTGTCCAAAGATAAATATAAATTTCATGCCTTTGTTCAAAAATAAATAGAAAGTCAATATTATTTCATGCCTGTTTAAAATTTCCAACAAAAAACTTATGGAATATGTTTCAGATATTGTCTATTTGTTCCAATTCCTTTCGTGTAACAATTTGTGGCCTTGAAAAAATACCTTCTACAAGATTTAGCAATCTTGCACAACTTCAATAGTTTTTAAAACAATATTCTATTAAGAAGAAACTAGTATGATTAAACGTCAAAGATTAGAGTTTTAATATCACTAGAAAAAAATGAAATCAATTAAAAACATTACCTGTAAAATTATTTTCTTGTCTGGAAAAATGGTCTAATTCAACATCTGCAAAAATACAACCCTTTGTTATCGATATATTCTTACATGCCTATAAACCATTAGATCTAAAAAACACTCTTGGCATAATATAAATCTACTATCTACGACCTTGTCTTTTTTTTACCTTAGAAAACTTTAAACCGAACGATAGATATTTTAAAGGAAATTCTACACTTACTTTCCATGTTACTGTATGCATTTTCATCCTGCATTTTCAATTACAAGCTAAGATACACTAAACTAATACACAGAAGACTAATAGAATGAAAAAGTATTTGTTGTTATCGATATGGTGTCATCTTTTATCTAATCTATGAAAATAATTTCGTTCAGCACATTGTTTTCTACTTGTAATATGTTTCAATTTTTATCTAAAAAGTAAATAATTTTATCAGATCCGTCACCGTATTTTAGACATCGAGAGGCTTTTATCTTTTGATGTGTACTAAATTACACATCAAATAAGTTCAGTACGTAAGTTTTTTATAGCTGGTCGAAAGCATGAAAACAAAGACTGTTTATAAAGCTCTTTATGGAACGGTTTTTGGTATCAGGACCAAATAAAAAGTCTATCCAGATAAAAGGTTTATCCGCAATGATGTACGTATCAAATGAAAGAATAAAACAAAGTTTTATTCTTTCTGGTTTTGCCAAAGTGTAAACATTTGAAAACGGCGTCAGGCCATGAAGTTTAGGGCGCCTACATTGTAAAATGCCTTGCACCCTATCCTCCATGCTATGGCATGCTGGACGAGCCATACAGTCTGTAGTCAATGCCCCGAATTATGAGCGGGAACACAAAGTGTATCAATACTCATACTCTTATGAAACGCACCTGGCGAATCATAAGTGCCCTCACATTTTAGTCTTCTTCAACTTGTCTTGAGTGAAATGCCTTTAATCTTTTCTATCAACCTTTCTTGGCTAACTCTTGTTTCTTCCGACCCCGAATGACGATTAGGTTTCCGAAAGCAGACGGGTCACTATATTTGTTTCTACTACATAATCTTCCCCGGCCGAGTTTAGCCGTAACATCTCACACGAAGGCAACGTCGTTGCCATCTCCAGGATCACTACCCCCTGAGGCTTGTCTGGAAGCTACAGTCGAAAGCCCCGGCACCAGACTTATGTGCGGAAGGCCAATAATCTACTCATCTTAGTGCACAGTTCGAGTGTGCAAAAAGTACTTTTTGTCTACTTTTGCTGTAAGCGATGGTAGAGTGACTAGAGCTCTTACCAAAATAAGAGATGGACGAACCCCTGGGGAAGACTTACGGGGTAAACTTGTTGCTGCACAGAAGTTAACACCGTTGCAGGCACAATCAGTTATAGACCACGTTAATTGTTTCCCATCTTGTCAAAGCCACTATACAAGGAACCCAGGAAGATACTTGAACCCAGATCTTAATATTGCAAAGATGTACAATCTTTATACACAGTGGTGTGTGGAAACTGAAATTGATCCTGTGAAACAGTATTAATACTGATCTACTTTCAACTCTACTGTAAATTTAATTTACAGTTTTACTTGCCTAGAAAAGATACATGTAAACACTGCGATAGATACAAGCAAATGATAGTTATTATGGAGCAAAATCGAGAAACAAGAGCAGATCTGGAAAGGGAACATAAGCTCCACTTGGCAAGGGCTGAAAAAGCATGTGCTACTTTGAAGACAGATAGTACTTCGGCAAAAGAAAATGAAGATTTATGCATCTTAACTATTGATTTGCAGAAAGCCTTCCCGTTTCCAAAACTAACAGTGTCTGAGACGTACTACCGGAGAAACATGTACTGTTACAACCTGGGGGTACATGATATAGGAAAAAATTTAGGGTACATGGCAAGCAGAGTGTGTGTCTTACCAAGCACATAAAACACAATTCCTGTAAACACATAATAATTTTCAGTGACACTTGTGGCGGACAAAACCGAAATATTAATGTAGCTTTAACTTTAATGAAACTGACATAAGAAATAAAAATGTAGACGTCATTGATCTAAAGTTCATGGTTTCAGGACACTCGCATCTACGTAACAAAATTTTTGTGTATGTTTTATTAAATGTATATAATATTTTTACTTTAATACCCAAAACTCATTATGGTGAAAGTCACTTTTTGGTATGCATTGTGGTGTAAATCTGTACTGTCATAATAAAATACATAAGAAAATAAAAACATTGCAGAAAAATTATGTTACTTAGTTTAACAAGTAAACTTAGTATGTTAATTAGTAAAAACTTTTAATTCAGTTTCTCTGAATGGTTCACTGATTTTTCTAGAGTGTCATAGGCAAAACCTTTGTCATTGAAAAAGTAGTTAATTTGACTTACACCACTAAGTTTCTCAGCCCTTTATAAGACCCTTTGTCTTCAATGATGTGTCATTAGCTATCCCCATATATCTTTTAAAACTCAGTAACCTTTATACGATTTTCTCTACTTCTTTTCCTTTAATGACCTATTTCTTTTAGAGAGAATACTGATTAAAACACAAAGTTATGCATTTCTCCACATTTAATAAAAGTTTAACATTACAAAATATTTAGATAAACTTAATGTAACTATGGAAAATACTAAAAAATAGATTATTTTTAAAGTAGCATCTGCAACTTCGTTCTTGACAAATCCGTTAAACTTTAAAATCTAGATCGGAAATGCTACTTTAACAACAAAAACTTGTTACAAAAATAAATCTAAAAACTCTGAAAAGTCAAAATATTCTTCGACATCAATAAATATTTAAACAGTTTTGTAAATAAGAATAATTTATAGAGTCAGATTATATATTTCAAGTGACAACGATTTTTAAATAGTTACTTCTGGTGAAGCTACATTTAACTATATAGGTACATACAGGTTACAATGATAATAATATCACTGAACGTTGCGTTCAGTGTTGTATAGATACAACAAGTTCTTATAACAGGGTATGGTGATATTCAGAAGAGATCAATCTTTCCAGCTGCTTCAGATGATACTAAGTACTCCATATATTTTACACCAAACTTAAGAAACGATGTAATAGGTAAAAAAACGACAAATTAGCTCAGAGAAATATTCTTCTGTCTATGACTCTGACCAGTTAGGTATTTAACCTATAGAATAGAACATATACTTTCCATGCAGTTTTGAGTTATTAATAATTACAAACTTCAAATAAAATAGTCGAATTTTTTTGCTAAAGTTTTTGTGTTAGAGTTTTATATTATGTCAAAAACCTGACTAGGTCAGACTCTCCAACAGACTATTTTTTTGCTTATTCCTCTTTGCTAAAAGTATCAGTTACGTATTTCCATTTTTGTTTTGGAACTAAAACATTTTGTAGCTTGCTTTACGCACTAATAGAACCATTATTTTGGGCGTATAAAGCGAAAGAATTGGAATTACATGATTGTGAAGTTGACAGATGACGTGAACCACGTGCTTGTGCTATTTTCAAGAGGGCATTTTGAGAGCATTTTTACACAATTTAAAAGAAGAAAAATTCAGACAAATTAATGCCTATATCTTAATATTCCCTGTATTGGATTCCTTTGTTTACTATCCTTTCATTGTATACCTCTCATTACAGTATTTATCTGGAGTATTGCCAACTTTGCCCACATTGTAAATTTGCCCACATTATTTGTGTATAGTATGCATAAGGATTTTTTATTCCCAGCACAACAAAATAAGATAATACTGATTTTTTTTCTCCAAACTCATTATATTCTTTAGTTTATCTTAGTATGAAACATTGACTATTTGTATTCCGGTTTTATAAAATTTCAGTATATTCCGGTTCAACAAATGAGTGACAGTATGCCGTAAGTTCCCATCTCTTACGATACTGTTCATCCATTATGGCCAACCCAATCCACAGTAGCAGATATATTGGATTTTAAACTTTGAATTTTTTATCTCTCCAGTCGGAAGTTTTATGAAATTGTTCGTTAAATTTTTATAAAAATGTCTCCAAAAGATTCTTTATAACCAGTATTTGAGTACGTTCGAGCTGAAACAGTTGTGGAAAATTTAAGAAAATTTTTAGAGCGAAAAATGGAATTTAATGACCTATCTGTCAACCTGTTATCCTGAATTTTGGAAATTATCATATCTAACAAAAATATATAAAAATTAAATTGTTATCAATAAAATTCTCTACAAAAAGTTGCTTGTGCAATTATTAAAAATTTTTTAGCATGTAGACATGAAAATGGGCGAACAAAGTTATGGAATTCTGGTTATGGTATAGGAAAAATTTGGTATGTAAAAACTTTGTGTGGAAAATGTATTGTTTAGTAATTTTTGAACTATTATTTGTATGGGTAGTAACATTTTATGCAGCGACTTTTGATATAACATTTAATTACGAAAAACTTTAATTCAGTCCAATAGTCGCTGATGTGACACTTTCCACGATATTCAGGATCAAAACATAAAATAGAGGACTGTAACGTTAATTCTTTGTTATAAAATTGTTTCTGAATTTTCGTCATCTTTTTTAGCTGAAGCAAACTTAAACTCTAGATAAAAAAACCTTCTGGAGAGATTTCAACTCACCAATTTATACGACCAATAACGCTTGGTTTGAACGATATACCCAATGACGTATAATAAATTTATGACGTATAATTAAATGACATATAATTTATTATACGTCATTGCTTAAAGCACTCACATCGAAATGGACGGTCTAGTACGTTGGGACGTTGGATCGACATTACACATTATAAATTCTAACGGATACCAAGAATAAAGAAGTATAATAATGAGGTTTTTCTCATATCTTATGTATATATTTCGCTTCTATTGTAATTTAATAATTATTATTCTCTTTAAAGCAATTTATTTGGACGTAGTAAACATATTTGTATATTAGAATCCTTGTTCAACTAACCCCATTGCGGAATCAACATTTTTCCGTTTCTTGCCAAAATTCAGTCTTTGCTCAGTCTTCTTTTTGTAGGATCTTCTACTTATCGTTTTGACATATTTTTCTATAAAATCTTTTATAGAGATTTTGCTTGCATGTGCTACAATATAACAGAAAAGTCTATAGTTGAAAAAAACTTTTAAGGCTTGTAAAATTGGCATTCTTTTGCCGGTTAAAGAAAACTACAAAACGCTAGTAACCATAAACATACTTTTTCTTGTTTAAAATATTCTTTTCAGTGCTATCAAACAAAATCTTTGTGTTTACCTGTTTTTACTTAGTAAATATTGAACTGATGTTGTCCCCAATTGTTGAATAAAACATAATTTTTAATCACTAATAAGAATATTTTATTTGGAAATAATTCAAGTTTTTTTATTATTTTGCACTAGCTTTCATTTTTTGTATTTATTGTCAAAGTCACGTTCTGTGGTAATCATGTAGGTGCTTTTAAAAACTATGAACGACATCTTAAAGTAAAATATGAATTACAGATGATAGAAGACACAAATGAAATAGGGTTTTAAAAATGTTAGTTTTAGATTATTAAATGGATATCGAAAACCTTTAACAATCCTTAAGTTTGCCATAAAAATATATGGATACGAAATACGATCAATCTGAAAATGGACAGTCAGTTTAACCTAATAAAGCCCCTGTTTCTGGACAGCTTCTTTCGCATTCAGCTATTAACACTGGATCTTCTTCGTGAAAGGTGTAGGTCAGATCATTGAGATAACGTAGAGAATATTGTGTAGCATTTTGGCATTGATAATCGCCGATACCTTTACACAGTTCGAAGGCCTTTGCTACGAACAATGCCTGGCATGTACGGATCGGGGGTGAGCGGTTGTAGTTGCTCTGAAATGAAAATCAATAATTTTTTAATTAAATAAATAAAAAATTAAATATAATATATATGAAACATTACAAGAATATATTCCATTTGAAAAGTCTGGCAAGTATTATTAAGAAGAAGAGCAAGGCTGCCCAAAAGAAGTTGTGAATATGTGGAATAGATGAAGAAAAGAAAGATATAAGCCCCTGTAGCTGGACTGGACGAACGAACAAGAGAAGAGCCCCTGTATTTGCACAGCTTCTATCGCATTCTGTTATTAACACTGTATCTTCTCCATCAAAGTTGTAGGTGATATCATTGAGATAACGCAGAGAATATTGTGTAGCATTTTGGCTTTGATTATCGCCTAAATCTTTGCATAGTTCGAAGACCTTTGCTACGAACAGTGCCTGGCACTGGCGGATGGGGGGTGAGCGGTTGTAGTTGCTCTGAAATGAAAATCAATAACTTCTTAATTAAATATATTAAAAATTTAATTAAATATATGAAAAATGGCAAAACATTTTTGCATGTGAAAATCTTAAAAAGATTTATTAAAAATAAAGCGAGGAAAACCCAGAAGAAATTATGGATATGTGGGATAAACAAAGAAATAAGCGATGGAAGCTTGGAATGACGCTTTTCGACAGTGTCCATGTCTCTGATCCATATACAAAGACTGGTTTATCAGGGCTTTGTATATTTTGCATTTGGTTTTTCTTGTGATGTTAGATCTTACATGTTTAATTAATCCATTATATGGTTTATTAGAGATATGTATTCTTCTCTTAACTTCTTCACTAACACAGTGAACCTAGATATGTAACATTTTTCACGCATTCGATGTTATATGTCTCCTATTGTCCGAATCTGTAGGTTTCTTAGGCCTGTCGATTTGTTGGCCTTCATGTATTTGGTTTTTACTCCGTTTTGTTTAGACCACTGTTTTGGGCCGCTCTTTCTATCGCATTAAATGCTTCTATCATCTCTCTTTCGCTTCTAGCTATAATATCAACATCATCTGCAAATGCCAATATCTTTACACTTTTTGTTATTATTATTCCTCTGGTGTTGACTTTTGACTCTCTAATTATTTTCTCTAATGTGATGTTGAATAGAATACAGGATAGGGCATCTCCCTGTCGTAGGCCCGTTTTCACGTGGATTGTATCTGTTAGTGCGTTTTGAATTCGAATTTTTCTTTGTACTTTAAGTGTTTCTTTTACTATATCAATGAGTTGAGTTGGAATATTAAACTCTTTTAGTGCATGGATCAGAAATTCTCGATGAATGCTATCGTAGGCACTCTCAAAATCAATGAAGAGATGATGTGTCTATATTAAATTCACTAGTCTTTTCCAAGATTTTCCATAAGACGAAGATCTGACCTATTGTGCACATCCCCCAACTATTTATTCCCCATATGGTCTCAATCGGTCATACGCAATATTTGACAGTATTTTATATGCCACAGTTAGTAGCGTTATTGCCTAGTAGTTTTTACATTGAAGCTGATCTCCCTTTTTATGTAGTAGGATAATTACTCCGGTATTCCAGTCTTGTGGCAGTTGTTTATTATTCCATAAGTTCACTATTAGTTCGTGTATCTCATTCAATAGGGACTCTTCGCCTTCCTTTATTAATTCTGCGCTAATTTTGTCTAATCCAGGTGACTTGTGTGAAAGGAGATGAACCAGATGTCATGACATTCAATAAAACACAGCGACTTAGATGGGCTTTAAGAAAAGTCAAAGTAACGTTTAAAGTAAAAAAACTTAATAACCTGTGTGCCTATAAACCGTCCTTGGAATGACCAGTTGACAACAATTTATTGCTCTCTTTGTCAATGCCAAATAAGGTTTAATAATATTTATTTTTAATTCAAATTTCAAAGTTGTCTCCGGGACAAACTTATTTGGAGTGGGTAATTGGTTAATTAAAGATACAAAACGTAATTTCTGTAAAATTATTGCATAACTACTATTGCTAAGCTTTAACCACTTTATTAATACGAACACTCCAGCCTCCAGGTATACAAAAGCAAACATAAAAGCGATAAAAGACATTTCAAATTAAACTTGTTTTATATAAAACTTTTAAAGAGTGCTTTAGTAAATACACTGGCTTTAGAATGATTACATTGTACAGCTAAAAGTAAACATTTTTAAAATAACGATGTATCGTTAAGTCTGAAGTTGCAGGTATAAAACCTTGGAGAAGTGAATAAAAAAGTACAAATCGGTGGCTTTTATAACATAGAGATGATCATTAAAAAGCTTTAAGTCGTAGTACATCAATCTGCAAAAGAAATTTCTGAAGAAAAACATGGTTATTACATGTTTACAATATTATAACCACTTAAAAAGATAATGTTTCGGGAAGTCGATTTGATTTTGTATAAAATAACGAGACAGAAGATCAAGAATACCTACACCACAAAATCCTGATTTAATTGGTTCATGGTTCATTCATTTATTTATGTGAAAACATTGCTTTAACTACTGTACCAAACAATACAAAAGTTCGTATTCTCCTTCTCTACAGGGATAAAGTCCACTTTACATTATGAAATTGTCGTGCTATGTAACACAGTTTATGCAACTGCGCATGCGCACCTAATATTTCCAAACAATATCTATGCTAGATAAAAAAATTAGAACGTTTTCTATTTGTTATGCTATTTTGATGCAATGTATCGTCAAAAAATCAATGGGGGCAGCTGGGGTAATCATCATCATTAGCCATTTTGCGTCCACTGCTGAACATAGACCTCCCGTAAATAATTCCATTGCATCCGATCTTGAGCAACTTGAATCCAGTTAGACTGGATGCGCTTTAAATCGTCCGACCACCTTGTTGGAGGACGTCCTCGACTACGATAAGCATCGTGTCTAGGCCTCCACTCTAAAATTTTCTTTGTCCATCTTCCATCTCTGACCCTAGCAACATGTCCTGCCCAGTTCCATTTCAGGGTTGTAATTCTTTCAACTGCGTCCGTCACACCAGTTTTTCTCCTTACTATCTGACTCGAAACTCTGAAAGCTATGAAATATTTACATTTACGGCCTAATATTATTTCGTGTTTAATACCTATTGCGCCATCTAGCAGTGTTTTGTTCAAACTGACGTAAAACAATGACGATTTTTTGCCGGCAAAGAAGGAATTTTTGAAAATGTCATATTTTGTTGGAGTTGATGTATTGGTGCAAGATTTTTAAAGGTATGTAGAAATATATAATTAAGTTTATTTAGCTGCATAATTGGTACCCGTTTATTACATTTTTAACGTAGTTTAAGACTGCATAAAAAGTTCTTGCTCTAATTTAAGTGATTAATGATTACGAGTCGATCAGTATAAATAAGTATTTTGGGGTTATAATAGCCACGCGCCTGGAGGTAATGCTGGCCGGCCACTATTTACCTCCAATTACCTCCAAATTGTATATATATAATACAGAGTATTTCTTTATAAATTCGTATATTTCAGATGCCTCGAGTTTACAAGAGAAAAAGCCACAAAGCACGATGGACCCTTAGTGTAGCAATAAATGCAGTAAATAATGACAGAAGCGTCCGTGAAGTTGCAAGAAGTTTTGCAATTCCCAGATCTACAATTCAACTACGACTAAAGCGAAATGATACAACAGCTGCTTCTTTAGGTCGTAATTCTGTATTTACCAAAGAAGAAGAAGTGTTAACAGAGTAGGTTGTAAAGTTATCAAAACATTTTTATGGGATAACTCCCACAGAAATAAAAAAATGTGCCTATAAATACGCTGAAGAAAAAAATTTACATCATCCATTTTCCAAAGAAAAAGAAATTGCTGGACGAGACTGGCTTGACGGCTTCCTTAAAATAAATCCAAGTAAACCTATTTTTCTCTAATTTAAAATCCATATTGGGTAAATATAAATTTTCGGCATCCAAAATATATAATGCAGACGAGACAGGCATAACAACCTTTCAAAACCCCGGAAAATACTTGCTGAAAAGGGATAAAAGAGAGTCGGCTTTATTACAAGCGCAGAAAGAGGTCAGACAACAACCATTATGTGCTGCATAAGTGCCTCAGGAACATATATTCCACCTTTGTTTATTTATGCCCGCAAAAGGATGAAACCAGAGTTAAAGAAAATCCGTGCAGTCACTGCTGCTCGGATAATGGGTGGATAAATGAGCAAATATTTCTCGAATGGCTCAAGCATTTTTACAGTGTTGTAAACCTTCAAAGGCGGATCCAGTTTTGTTAATCGTCGACAATCACAGTAGCCACTGTACATTAGAGACATAATTTCTGTAAAGAACGAGGAAATATTATGTTAAACATTATCTCCGCACACATCGCATCGACTCCAACCGCTGGATGTAGCCTTTTACTCATCGTTAAAATCCGCGTATAACCAGGTATAACATTGAATGTGGCAATTATCTTCGAAGTCATCCTCATGAGCGTATCACAACATTTGAAATAGCTGAAGTATTTAAAAATTCATACGGTCGCGTACCCACACCAGTCAAAGCTATTAAAGGTTTTGAGAATACATGAATATTTCCGTAAAAACCTGAAAATTTTACCGATAAAGACTTTGCTCCAGGTGAATGATTCATAGCAGAAAAAGGTAAAAATACACTAGACCAAAGAGAAAAAATGTGAGAAAAAAAAATATATATATACATTATATATATATATATATATATATATATATATATATATATATATATATTTAAGATGACAGTTTTAGGTGATATAAAACTAGACCTAAATATATGCAAATTATTGAGTATAGAGAGGGATAAAGAAAAGAGGAAAAAATCTATGTCCACAGGTGGATACCTACGTATGATTTTCTTTCCACCATTAACATGAATTATAGTCTTATAGAACATCTCGTACTATAAGAACATTTTACGGGATATTCTGTTTTTTTAGGGTTAGAAAAGAGTTGTTATGTACCACTAATGAAACTTCAAACTGTAGAGAGTATTTCAAACTCCCACCCATCGTGAGTTCCATAATAAAACCTTAAATTTTACATCTTATCAGTGAACAAGAAACTTACTCTATAATTCATGTAGAGATGATAAATTTTCTTTCCCATTTGGCATAAAATCGATCTCTAGTACAATTATTGTTCTAAGTTTAACTAAAGATTCAATAAACAGCTGTTCAGGGAAGGCTTAATGTGTAGATTATTCCGGTGACTTACTCCTGCTTTCAATAAAATTTGTCAGGCGACTACTTCAAGCTTGTAAACTGTTTAATTAATTTGTATTTAGTATTATTCCCTTATACATGAGTTAACTAATAGCTTTACGAGAATATGCTAAATGTCCGGAAGAAATGGTAGAGTCCCTTATAAAGGTTGTCCCAAAAAATCAAGCAGGAGGAATTTTGACAAAAATAGTATGGTGTTAGTGTTCTTTTTTGATAGTATATGAGGTATTCTT